ATCTAACACGCATTACCATTAACTCACAAGTCCAACCTATAACACAAGAGCATATGCACAACACAAACACTGACGTGAACACTAACACAATCAACCTATAACACTATAACACACAGAGCTGACGTGAACACTAACACAATCCAACCTATAACACAAGAGCATATGCACAACACAAACACTGACGTGAACACTAACACAATCCAACCTATAACACAAGAGCATATGCACAACACAAACACTGACGTGAACACTAACACAATCCAACCTATAACACAAGAGCATATGCACAACACAAACACTGACGTGAACACTAACACAATCCAACATATAACACAAGAGCATATGCACAACACAAACACTGACGTGAACACTAACACAATCCAACCCATAACACAAGCATATGTACAACACAAACACTGACATGAACACTAACACAAACATTAACATATGCACCAACACAAACATTAACACAATCCAACCTATAACACAAGCACTAAGATGAATACTTAACAATGTCACTATTCTTAACAGCAATTGTCACCAGCGCGAGCAAAATTACAAGCATAAGCACCAACACAAACATTAACATAAGCACCAACACAAACATTAACATAAGCATCAACACGAACATTAACATAAGCATCAACACAAACATTAACATAAGCACCAACACAAGCATTAACATAAGCATCAACACAAACATTAACATAAGCACCAACACAAACATTAACATAAGCACCAACACAAACATTAACATAAGCACCAACATTAACATAAACATAAGCACCAACACAAGCATTAACATAAGCACCAACACAAACATTAACATAAGCATCAACACAAACATTAACATAAGCATCAACACAAACATTAACATAAGCACCAACACAAACATTAACATAAGCACCAACACAAACATTAACATAAGCACCAACACAAACATTAACATAAGCATCAACACGAACATTAACATAAGCATCAACACAAACATTAACATAAGCACCAACACAAGCATTAACATAAGCATCAACACAAGCATTAACATAAGCACAACACGAACATTAACATAAGCACAACACGAACATTAACATAAGCACCAACACAAGCATTAACATAAGCATCAACACAAACATTAACATAAGCACCAACACAAACATTAACATAAGCACCAACACAAACATTAACATAAGCATCAACACAAACATTAACATAAGCACAACACGAACATTACTATAAGCATCAACACAAACATTAACATAAGCACCAACACAAACATTAACATAAGCATCAACACAAACATTAACATAAGCACAACACGAACATTAACATAAGCACCAACACAAGCATTAACATAAGCACCAACACAAGCATTAACATAAGCACCAAAACAAAAATTAACATAAGCACCGACCCGAGCATTCTGCACCAACACGAAGAGTATCAATAGATACACTAATACTTGATAGTTACTTAGCTGCCCCACAAGTAACATGCCAGCTCTACAAGGACTAGCACGGCGTTGTGTACCAACAGTAGCACCGCTAGTACCAGTCTGTCTCACCGTCCCTAAACCGTAGAAGGTCCACTTCCATCCAGGAATGTTTGCAACGAGAACTCATTAAATGAAACGTTTTCCCCAGGTTCTGAATCCCCATCTCACTGATTCTGAATCCTCCATCTCACTAGGGCACTCGATTTCCCGTTACAATTTTAATGGAATTATTTGTTTCTAACGTATATTTAATATACATTTTTATAGTATGTTTTCAGAGACTAAGGTTTATTCTACGACACTGGTAACAGCCCTAACACTAACACAGCACAAGATTCGATATCAGCAACGACAACTGCCATACAAATAGCCACTAATAGTATCACGCACTAGTATATCTATTCTCCTATATCACAACGGTAATGGAGAAAGGTACCTACTGGACAAGCATGAGGACCGGGTCACGCAATGCGGACATTATCATGACATTGTACATGAGAGAGACATTGTCTGCTGTAGGCGTGTATGGACGCCAAGCGAAACAATCTCCTCCAGGGAACAAAGTCCTCTACAGACCAGAAGATAAAACAGACGCTGGGTATTTTCTTGAATTTCAAAGATGGTATAATAAGTTAAACATGTTTTGTGCTCAACGAAGGACAAGAATCGACCTGTCCAATGTTTAACATTCACGTCTTTCATCTTGACAACGGCAAGGTAACAAATATATAAGCTATCAGAATCGAATTTACCCATACCATTGTGAAAATATAACAGATATATATTTCTGAATGCCGGCTTCATATACAAAGCTTCTGTCATGAAATCAATATATAAATCAATAAGAAATTAATCATGTCGATTTTTAAACTCTTGTTAATAACTAATGGGTGTTTAGTTACCAAATATATAACACATCCGTCAATCGATACACTTCCCGTGAAGATCCGGGTTAGAATTGATCTTCAGCAACCCGTGAAGATTCGGGTTAGAATTGATCTTCAGCAACCCGTGAAGATCCGGGTTAGAATTGATCTTCAGCAACCCGTGAAGATTCGGGTTAGAATTGATCTTCAGCAACCCGTGAAGATCCGGGTTAGAATTGTTCTTCAGTAACCCATGCTTGTCGTAAGAGGTGACTAACGGGATCGGGTGGTCAGGCTTGCTGACTTGGTTGACACATGTCATCGTATCTCAGTTGCGTGGTCAATGGATGTCAATCACCGGATTGTTTGGTCGAGATCGACTTTTATAATTGCTGAGTGCGACTTTAAACAACATTCAACGGACCAACAAACCAACCATACAAACAGATAAACAGACAAACAAATGAATAATTAACATTAAACATCCATAACGATCTTATTATACACAGATGGGAAACAGTGAACAGACTCAACAACGTTTTCCAATGAAATATCATACAATAAATTTTGTTAAAGGTAGTCATCAAGCGTTCAACTGAGTGAGTATAGTTTCATGGTGCTTTTAGCAATATTCCAGCAATATTACGTCGGGGACACCAGAAATGGGCTTCAACATTGTACCCATGTGGGGAATCAAATCCGGGTCTTCGGCGTGACGAGCGAACGCTTCAACCACTAGGCTACCCCACTGCCCATCAGGCGTTCAAAGGGCTGCTTAAATTCGAAATGTTGCTTACACTATAGTATAGTATACTATTGTTTGTGGGGGGCGGTAGGGTAGCCCAGTGGTTAAAGCGTTGGCTCGTCACGCCGAAGACCCGGGTTCGAATCCCCACATGGGTACATTGTGTGAAGCCCATTTCTGGTGTCCCCTGCCGTGATGTTGCTGGAATATTGCTAAAAGCGGCGTAAAACCAAACTCACTCACTCACTCACTATTGTTGGTGGACGGTAGACGGTAGACGGACATTAAACGCGCTAAACACTAGGCTACCACACCGCCTCCTTGTTCTGTAGTATGTGACGCGTCAATTTAGATTGTAGCCGTCGTCATTTGCTTCCTTCCTTCCATCCAAGATGTTCGTTTTGAGGATAAGAAACTTGGGGAAATCTTACGGACTGAGATACCATTGCTGGACGCGAATCCCCACGTGGGTGCAATGTGCGAAGCCCATTTCTAGTGTTCCCCGCTATTGCTGGAATATTACTAAAAGCGGCGTAAAACTCGCCGTAGCTGGACTTCCCTTTAAGTGATTGTCAAATAACGGGTCAATTAGCCTGTTGAATTATATTCAAATAAACTGGCAACTCGTTTGATCGACAATATAAAATAGGGTTCGGTTTCACGAGGAATAGGAAAAAACATATTCTTCCGTCAGGTTCTAACACTTTATGATGCAACATGACACCACGATAGACCGTGTCTTAAACAATCCAACACCACTACGATAAACCGTGTCTTAAACAACCACATTGTACGGGTATTGTCCAGTTGTGACTTGTGTTACCGTAATGAAGAAATAGCAGGTTGCCAGTACAGGTACACTGTAACAATATCCTATAGACGACAAAGTTAGATAATAAACAAACAGTTAAATATTCGGCCGATGATCTTATATATCAGCGGTACACTTAGTATAGCTGAGCGAGATGGGCTTCACACCTTGTAGGGGTAGCCCAGTAGTTAAAGCGTTCGCTCGTCACGCCGAAGGCTCGGGTTCGATTCTCCACATGTGCGAATGTACAATGTGTAAAGCCCATTTCTGGTGTCCCCCGCCGTGATATTGCTGGAATATTGCTAAAAAGCGGTGTGAAACCCAACTCACTCACTCACACATCGTACACTTGTTTAAGCTTGACGACTGAATACTTTAAGGCCACCCTGACCGGCGACCCTTACCCATTAAAGATAAGATAAATCCTAAATCCTTTCGGCATGAGAAAAGTACTGAGAACCAACGAAGCCTCCCAAACTGTTACACGTAACGACTACCTTATCAACGGGAGCGTTTACAGAGTGAATCATATCACGACAACCTGTGTGTACCTTCCTGATACGTACATAGTAATCTGGCTGAGTTGAAACCATGCAAATAGTTCGAGATAGGTGTGTGAATGTGTGTGTTTGGTGGAGGGAGGGAGGAAGAGGGAGTTGGGGAAGGGGGTCACGCATATGTGTAGTGATTGGGTGGTTGTCAGGTATAAACAAACAAACAAACAAACAAACAAACAAACAAACAAATAAATAAATAAATAAATAATAATAATAATAAATAAATAAATAAATAAATAAATAAATTAATAACAAATAAATAAACAAATAAATAAACAAACAAATAAATAATATATAATTATATACAAATATAATAAATAATAATAGACAAATGAATAAACAAATAAATGACAAACAAACAAACCAATAAATAAATAAATAAATAAGTAAATTCCAACATTCCTACACATGACACAACATAACGCCTCCTACCCCATCATATCTTCACGAGACACGTTTAGGCTACTGGACTCTCTTGTCTCGTGAAGATGACCCCATACCAGTGATGGTAAATATATGATAAAATGTTCCAAAAGTGCGTCCTTGGTCCAACTCTAATTAAAAAATAGCAAAAATAATGAAAATCATAACAATCGAAAAAAAATAAAAATAATATAAATATTAAAATACCTCTCCCACAGCGTCACGCGCTATACATACGCAAAGCTGGCAACTTGTCAAAGCTAAGAAATCAGTTCAAACCTTGTACCTATAGTAACAATCATAATGGACGTCATCGACTCGTGAATTGTACACTGCCAGTCCAACTATCTACTGGCAACAACTAAATTCGGTCAAGGCCATTTGGGTCTATTAGCGCCTTACAACGTGCCCAAACCTATTAATAGTTCAAAAAGCCGGGGCAAAAACATTCTCCTTGTCTCACGCCTAGCAAAGTTGGTGTCGTTGCCTTTAAGACCACTCGTAAAGCATGTAACTAAAACATTTTAATGTCAGGTTTGAACCTGAGGACAGTGTTTGTGATATGTTAATAGACATTTTGACATTTTATTGATATCATTCAACAAATATTGGTGCAAATAACGACCCGAAGGAACAATGTGTGAGGACCGACAAATGTTCATTATGTAAGACATTCTATACCTTGTGTATCGTGTATACTTTGACACATTGTCTTCTGCAAACAATGCTAATGGCATCTAACACGTGTTGTAGCTGAAGGTGAGTTTGTTAGATTAGATCGCATTGTTCGGAAGACTTTCTGTGTAGGAAAGTAAATATATGTAGTGCAGATTTGCGCGGTGAGATGTATGCATAGTTAGGCCTTCTCCTCGGGTTACATCATGTCTTCACACGGATTGTACCAGGGATTAACTAACATAGAATCTAGGGAAACTGTATCTGTATCAAGTTATTACTTGCATGTAGTTTTAAATATACTCCGTGCATACGTCTTTTATACGAGATCGGAGTACCCAGGAATCATGCAGGGGTTGGCAAGAAAATTAAATGAAATGGAATTCGCTTTAGGTGTAGTCAAGTTACATACCAATGTGGAAGCGGGATGTGAAAATATTAGGGTAATATAACCGGTTTGCCGGTATTTACCGGTTCAGACATGAAAACGATACGGATTGTGATACGCTGATCAAAAACCGGTATTTTGACATCAATTAGGAAAACTTTGTAACACTCGGAAATCTTCGGATATTTCCGGTTTTCAAATTGTTCTTTTCCTTGTTTCGTTTGTGCCAAATATTATTTACATTTTTATTTTGTCATAATTATAAGTTTTTATCAAATTTAGTCAAGCATAGTGATTTTGTTGTGTTTTTTGCTTATAAATCAAGCAATAACTCGATTATAATTAAATTTTTTTGGTACAAAAACCCAACTTCTTACAATATATTGCAATACATATCGCAATATAATGCTTTCGCATCGCATATATCGCAATATGAAAATTCTCTGCAATGCCTACCTCTAGAAAATATGTGGTTCGAATTCACAGCCTGCATATCCTGTTAGGCTATGGGATACAATTATGTGTTCACTTTAACACACCATCCAAGCGTCAGGATTATGGTGACGTGCATGGCCATTCACGTTATTTGTGACGTTAGCACACTGGATATCATAGTGCTGACGTGACCACATTGGCCAAGCTAAGCACACTTGCCAAGCTAATGCTTGTCTAGCTAATGGTCACGTTACCACATCGGTCACATTCATGGTGACGTAACCACACTGGTCAAACTAATGATGACGTGGTCACATTAGTCCAACTAATGGCGACGTCACCATACTGATCAGGCAAATGGCGACGTCTCCGACATGTCAACTAATAATGACATCATCACGCTTCTCAAACTGAAGGCGAAGTTTTCACGTTGGTCAAGCTAATGATGACGTTGTCTCATTGCTCAAACTAATGGCGACGTCACCACACATTTCAAACTAATAATTACGCCTTCAAAATTGTCAACTAATGGCGACGCTACCACACTGGTTACATTAATGATAACGTTTACACATTGGTAGAACTAATGATGACGTCACCACATAGGTCAAACTATTGATGACGTCACCACATAGGTCACACTAATGATGACATCGCTGGTCAAGCAACTGATGACCTGGCCACACTGACGATACTACCGTCGAGTATCTCATGACAGCCAGCTATTGGCGACGCTAGTCAGAACATGCTAATGATATGTGTAAACTCCACCGCAGGGCTGACCCGTGTGATACAGATCTGTTGTGACTAGTTGTTCACCTTTGTCACAATGTTCAATACTCTCAAGAATGAAAGGTCCGATATGCACTGGCGTGTAGCTGCAAGAAAACCAGGGATTTGTTCAGCCACCGTCCTTATCATTGTCATGATTGCATTCTCAACATGAGGCGATCCGACAATGCTCGGTTTTGTTAACTAAACGGCAAACATATTGGATGGTGTTATTCCCTTGAGAAATAGATCGAATACATATCTCATTCATCGCGGCACTTGTCCTCGGATTTTCTTGTCACTTGCTGAGACATTTTTATAGTCACGTACACAGTTTCTCGTTCGTCCATTCGGGCGGTGGGGTAAAATAGTAATGTAAGCGTTCGCTCATCACGCCGAAGACCCAGGTCCATTCCCCAATAGGGTACAATGCATGAAGACCATGTATGGTGTCCCCTCCCGTGACATTGCTGGAATATTGCTAATATCGGCGTAAATCTAAATTCACTCACTCACTCTTCCGGCTATGCAAGCGTCTACATTCATCTTTCTTGCCAGTTATCTCAATTCCTCATGTATACTTTTAGATAACACACAATACAAATGATTGCATCTGTTTACTTAACGAAATAATAATTTCTGTGTTTAAATTTGACAACTTTGAAACGTATTATACACCGTCGCTAACAGTGTTATCTGTAGACGGGTGTAAATGTCACGACCCACCTAATGTAAATACGGCGTGGCTCTCATAAACGATTATTTGTTACCGTTCTGACACAAGACTACGGCACAGCGTTAAATCAGACTAACTCACTCACTCACTCTGTAACAATGATAAGTCATACGAACCATGACCTTCTGTCTCAATCCAAAATCAGCAACAGTGGATGACTGCGACAACGCCGCAGTTTTCAAAGTAGACATATGTGGCGTTGTCGCATCGTCCGATGTAGACAAAAATATAGTGACAGTGAGACAAGTGGCCAAAATGTCGCTTCAATCAGTTTTGACACCCTTTGCTTGTTTTTGTAAAGGCGACATAGCGACAATGTCCCTTCTAGGATTCCATACACACTATTTGCTGAGGTGGAATGGGGTTTAATGTTGGCTTTCGCATTGTTGCACTTATACAAGGACTTTAGATTGTTGCACTTATACAAGGACTTTAGATTGTTGCACTATACAAGGACTTTAGATTGTTGCACTATACACGGACTTTAGATTGTTGCACTTATACAAGGACTTTAAAGTGTTGCACTTATACAAGGACTTTAGATTGTTGCACTTATACAAGAACTTTAGATTGTTGCATGTATACAAGGACTTTAGATTGTTGCACTATACACGGACTTTAGATTGTTGCACTTATACAAGGACTTTAGATTGTTGCATGTATACAAGGACTTTAGATTGTTGCACTATACACGGACTTTAGATTGTTGCACTTATACAAGGACTTTAGATTGTTGCACTTATACAAGGACTTTAGATTGTTGCACTTATACAAGGACTTTAGATTGTTGCACTTATACAAGAACTTTAAATTGTTGCACTTATACAAGGACTTTAGATTGTTGCACTTATACAAGGACTTTAGATTGTTGCACTTATACAAGGACTTTAGATTGTTGCACTTACAAGGACTTTAGATTGTTGCACTATACAAGGACTTTAGATTGTTGCACTTATACAAGGACTTTAGATTGTTGCACTTATACAAGGACTTTAGATTGTTGCACTTATACAAGGACTTTAGATTGTTGCACTTATACAAGGACTTTAGATTGTTGCACTATACAAGGACTTTAGATTGTTGCACTTATACAACGAATTCAGATTGTTGCACTTATACAAGGACTTTAAATTGTTGCACTGATACAAGGACTTTAGGTTGTTGCACTAATACAAAGACTTTAGATTGTTGGACTAATACAAAGACCTTAGATTGTTGCACTTATACAACGAATTCAGATTGTTGCACTTACACAATCCATACAACGACTTTAGATTGCTGCACTTTCACGAGGTGCATCCAAATGAGGTGTGTGGCTGGTCTGCCTAACAGTCACAGAACCATCAACTATAATGCAAAACACCTGAATGAGGTCAGGTTCAGCTTCTGATTCCACCTCCTCACTGGGACTCCTTCTCAGTTCACAGGAGTTCTTCGTTGTTATCATAATTACATATTTACATAGGCTAGGCCAATGTCTGTTTTCTATAGTGCAAACCTACCGAGATACCATGCTACAGCTGAACATGGAAACCTAGCTCAGACAAAATATCTTTTTCGAGGGGGGTCGGTCCTTGTATTATCAGACAGGGAACTAAATACTATCTTTTGACGTCTTTTGGTATGTAGACTAACGCTTAGTCTCTGAATACATATAATTTTGATAATAAAAATAAACACATTTAAATTGAAAAGGAGACCCAGCGAGATGGAATTTCGGAACCTGATGAAATTTAGACTTGTTTCAGTTAGGGCTTTAGCATTGCAGGGAGGGCTGGGTATTGGGGAAAATAATGTGGTTCAGGGACTGTGAGACAGACTATTTGGTATGACCCGGGCGGGGATCGAACCACAGACCTACTGCTCTCAGAATAGGTGCACTATCCATTGGGCCAAAGATGAGGAAGACAATACAAATGATAGCATCTGTTTACTTAACGAAATAATAACTTCTGTGTTTAAATTTGACAACTTTGAAACGTATTATACACCGTCGCTAACAGTGTTATCTGTAGACGGGTGTAAATGTCACGACCCACCTAATGTAAATCGGCGTGGCTCTCATAAACGATTATTTGTTACCGTTCTGACACAAGACTACGGCACAGCGTTAAATCAGACTAACTCACTCACTCACTCTGTAACAATGATAAGTCATACGAACCATGACCTTCTGTCTCAGGCCAAAATCAGCAACGGTGGATGACTGCGACAACGCCGCAGTTTTCAAAGTAGACATATGTGGCGTTGTCGCATCGTCCGATGTAGACAAAAATATAGTGACAGAGAGACATGTGGCCAAAATGTCGCTTTAATCAGTTTTGACACCTTTTGCTTGTTTTTGTAAAGGCGACATAGCGACAATGTCCCTTCTAGGATTCCATACACACTATTTGCTGAGGTGGAATGGGGTTTAATGTTGGCTTTCGCATTGTTGCACTTATACAAGGACTTTAGATTGTTGCACGTATACAAGGACTTTAGATTGTTGCACTGCACACTATACAAGGACTTTAGATTGTTGTTGCACTTATACACGGACTTAAGATTGTTGCACTTATACAAGGACTTTAGATTGTTGCACTTATACAAGGACTTTAGATTGTTGCACTTATACAAGGACTTTAGATTGTTGCACTATACAAGGACTTTAGATTGTTGCACTATACACGGACTTTAGATTGTTGCACTTATACAAGGACTTTAGATTGTTGCACTGTATACAAGGACTTTAGATTGTTGCACTATATACAAGGACTTTAGATTGTTGCACTTATACAAGGACTTTAGATTGTTGCACTTATACAAGGACTTTACAAGATTGTTGCACTTATACAAGGACTTTAGATTGTTGCACTATACAAGGACTTTAGATTGTTGCAGATTGTTGCACTTATACAAGGACTTTAGATTGTTGCACTTATACAAGGACTTTAGATTGTTGCACTTATACAAGGACTTTAGATTGTTGCACTTATACAAGGACTTTAGATTGTTGCACTATACAAGGACTTTAGATTGTTGCACTTATACAAGGACTTTAGATTGTTGCACTTATACAAGGACTTTAGATTGTTGCACTTATACAAGGACTTTAGATTGTTGCACTTATACAAGGACTTTAGATTGTTGCACTATACAAGGACTTTAGATTGTTGCACTTATACAAGGACTTTAGATTGTTGCACTTATACAAGGACTTTAGATTGTTGCACTTATACAACGACTTTAGATTGCTGCACTTTCACGCGTGCATCCAAATGAGGTGTGTGGCTGGTCTGCCTAACAGTCACAGAACCATCAACTATAATGCAAAACACCTGAATGACATCAGGTTCAGCTTCTGATTCCACCTCCTCACTGGGACTCCTTCTCAGTTCACAGGAGTTCTTCGTTGTTATCATAATTACATATTTACATAGGCTAGGTCAATGTCTGTTTTCTATAGTGCAAACCTACCGAGATACCATGCTACAGCTGAACATGGAAACCTAGCTCAGACAAAATAATCTTTTTCAGGGGGGTCGGTCCTTGTATTATCAGACAGGGAAACAAATACTATCTTTTGACGTCTTTCAGTATGTAGACTAACGCTTAGTCTCTGAATACATATAATTTTGATAATAAAAAATAAACCCATTTAAATTGAAAAGGAGACCAGCGAGATGGAAATTCAGAACCTGGTGAAATTTAGACTTGTTTCAGTTAGGGCTTTAGCATTGCAGGAGGGCTGGGTATTGGGGAAAATAATGTGGTTCAGGGACTGTGAGACAGACTATTTGGTATGACCCGGGCGGGGATCGAACCACAGACCTACTGCTCTCAGAATAGGTGCACTATCCATTGGGCCAAAGATGAGGAAGACAATACAAATGATAGCATCTGTTTACTTAACGAAATAATAACTTCTGTGTTTAAATTTGACAACTTTGAAACGTATTATACACATAGCGACAATGTCCCTTCTAGGATTCCATACACACTATTTGCTGAGGTGGAATGGGGTTTTATGTTGGCTTTCGCATTGTTGCACGTATACAAGGACTTTAGATTGTTGCACGTATACAAGGACTTTAGATTGTTGCACTTATACAAGGACTTTAGATTGTTGCACTATACAAGGACTTTAGATTGTTGCACTATACAAGGACTTTAGATTGTTGCACTTATACAAGGACTTTAGATTGTTGCACTATACAAGGACTTTAGATTGTTGCACTTATACAAGGACTTTAGATTGTTGCACTATACAAGGACTTTAGATTGTTGCACTTATACAAGGACTTTAGATTGTTGCACTATACCAGGACTTTAGATTGTTGCACTTATACAACGAATTCAGATTGTTGCACTTACACAATCCATACAACGACTTTAGATTGCTGCACTTTCACGACGTGCATCCAAATGAGGTGTGTGGCTGGTCTGCCTAACGGTCACAGTACCATCTACTATAATGCAAAACACCTGAATGACATCAGGTTCAGCTTCTGATTCCACATCTTCACTGGGACTCCTTCTCAGTTCACAGGCGTTCTTCGTTGTTATCAAAATTACATATTTACATAGGCTAGGTCAATGTCTGTTTTCTTAGTGCAAACCTACCGAGATACCATGCTACAGCTGAACATGGAAACCTATCTCAGACAAAATAATCTTTTTGAGGGGGGTCGGTCCTTGTATTATCAGACAGGGAAACAAGTACTATCTTTTGACGTCTTTCAGTATGTAGACTAACGCTTAGTCTCTGAATACATATAATTTTGATAATAAGAAATAAACCCATTTAAATTGAAAAGGAGACCCAGCGAGATGGAAATTCAGAACCTGGTGAAAATTAGACTTGTTTCAGTTAGGGCTTTAGCATTGCAGGGAGGGCTGGGTATTGGGGAAAATAATGTGGTTCAGGGACTGTGAGACAGGCTATTTGGTATGACCCGGGCGGGGATCGAACCACAGACCTACTGCTCTCAGAGTAGGTGCACTATCCATTGGGCCAAAGATGAGGAAGACCCCTTTAAATTTCAAATAGCAACACAACTTCCCCCAAATCATGGCATTCTTTTCAAAACACTAGTAAAAATAACTGACATGACATATACAGATTTCTTTTGGTTGAAATGCCACCGTTATCACCGACCAGCTCATATATTGGACTGTCGATCACATACTTCACTAAGTTAATGTCCCTCTTAAACACTCGCCGGGTGTACGTGAATTTCACGTTATAAATTTTCGAATGCATCGTGTCTCCCAGTGCTTACATAGACCTACTTCAGCCAAGCTGTGAACACGTACCGTTACCGTATTTAATCAAATGTATTTCTTCACGTACAACTTACTTTACTATGTTTTGTTTCCATGGGGGTATAGAATTCAGAACCGCTTCACACAGTATAAATCCGCGCAGGTCATACGCAATGAGGAGGGCAAAACCGCTTTTCCGTAAATTCCAGTCTTAAATAAGCTCAAAACGTCAATTGTTGCAAAGAAAATACGTCAAATACGTCAAAATGATAACTTCATAGCTTATTTAATCTTTAACAAAGAAAAACGCAGAAAGCAATCGTAATTAGTGACATTATTCAGCTCAATAATGCAACACAAGCCCCGCCCATTACACTATCAGCCAATCAGCAAACAGTAGGCTGTTAGTGGGCGTGGTCTAACATTTTTCGATCAAAGGAAACCTAAACACAAAACGAATCGCTAGGTTAGCCATGTCCAAGTTATTGTTGATTGAAATAGGTGAACTTGGCGCGATATTTCTTTCAAGTTTCTATCAGTTAAATCTTCATTCAGGTTGAACATTACATTAATCAGTCATGGAATCATTCGAATATTGTTTACTTACTATGATCATTACTTAAATCAGCAACTGTCTAGACACAATTGTGATCGGTTTATACCATTGGTCAATTGGGGCAGTTTTGAGCAGAGCTGAGTAGCACCATATTGTGGGATGTAATTTCTCATTGATGCAAGTCTTAGACGTTCATAACTTACGGGGGCGGTGGGGGTAGCCTAGTAGTTAAAGCGTTCGCTCGTCACGCCGAAGGCCCGGGTTCGATTCCCCACATGGGTACAATGTGTGAAGCCCATCTCTGGTGTCCCCCGCCGTGGTATTGCTGGAATATCTTGAAAATCAGCGTAAAACCCAACTCACTCACTCACTACCTAGGCGAAATCCAGGAGTATTGACATGTTGCTGACAAACATTGAAAAATAATTAAGTCCAGCCGTTATTCAAAATCACGAACAAAGATTTCTGGCATGTTTATGGGACGCACTTGCTCCAATTGTGACACAAATGTTGCCGTGGAAACGGAGAAAATACTATTCTAAAAATCGTGAGTGCAAAATGTCATGAAGAAATACATATTAGTTTTAGAAATATGGTCAGACAAACTCGATAACCAACGGACGGACGGACAGACAAGCTGATTACTGTATTACTTCTATTTTAGGAGCGGTGGGGCAGCATAGTGGTTAAAGGGTTCGTTGGTCACTCCAAAGACCAGAGTTCGATTCCCCACATGGCACAATGTGTGAAGCCCATTCTGGTGTTCCTCGTTGTGATATTGCGTAAAACCAAACTCACTCACTCATTTTTATCTCAACCCCAGGGTAATAAAATAGACTGAAATAGCCGTTTGTAAACAGTGCTTGAAGATAAGATAAGAAAACTTTACATGCATGTTAACTAGCCAGGGTTAGCAAGGCGAACCAATGGTTGACAGGGTGCTGGTCGCTCCAAGCCTAGAGGTACTATAATCTGTACTTTCACTGAGGAAGTGTTATCCCAAATATAACATATTTCATAGTTGACAACTTTCTAAATGACATTGTGTATCCACAAATGCACATATTCAAACAGAAAGTATTATAATAGTAATAAATTCCAAAAAGATCCCAGAAGAGATCTTAATTTGAGGCATAGAACTGAGGCAATCTCGACTTGCCAGAACATTCTAGACTTGAGTTCAATTTCTTTTTTAATTTATTCTCGAGACAGACTAGGTGCGTGGCTTATTACGCATGGAGCAGTACAATCCATATGCATGCACTGACCTTTGACAAAACACATTGCAGAATTTACCCTCCCATTGACAATAGAGACGCTGCAGAACCGGCAGGTGGGGACACAAAGGTGTCCCCACAGATTTACCTGTGATTACAGGTGTATCTCCTTCAGTAGCCATACCTTTATCATGACACAGTTACAGTACTCATGTTCTTATTTATCATGTCACGATATTTCTGATGCGACAGAAACGCCTCGCTTTTCAGCAGATTAAAGTATACTGCACTGTTTAATTAGAACGTTCTAAATATGGGATGGGATAGCCTTGTGGTTAAATCGTTTCCGGGTTCGTTTTCCACACTGGTACAATGTGTGAAGCTCATTACGGGTGCCCATCTCCATGATATTGCTGGAATATTGACTGACTGACTGAGTTTGGTTTTACGCCGCTTTTAGCAATATTCCAGCAACATCACGGCGGGGGACACCAGAAATGGGCTTCACACATTGTACCCATGTGGGGAATCGAACCCGGGTCTTCGGCGTGACGAGCCAACGCTTTAACCACTAGGCTACCCAACCACCCCGCTGGAATATTGATGAAAGCAACAGAAAAACATACTCACTCACAATAATTTATATCATGAAACGTGGGATAAAGTGGAGCTTTTTGTCAAAGCCAAGCAGGCATTTAAACGGCATAAAGTGCTACCTTTGTCAGTCTTGTCAAGTGGTCAGTTGCATACATGTGATAACCAGTGAAGATGTATATTCTATAGTAGGAGAAATATTTTCAAGTTCCTAAGTTAAAGATCACAACTGATTTTGCCTTTAAGGACATAAGTGAGTGAGTGAATGTTAGTTTGGTTTTACGCCACTTTTAGTAATATTCCAGCAATATCACGGTGGACACCAGAAATGGGCTTCACACATTGTACCCATGTTGGGAATCGAACCCGGGCCTTTGGCGTGACGGGCGAACGCTTTAACCACTAGGCTACCCCACCGCCCTTTAAGGACATAACGCTATCTCTCAGTGTGAAAGGTTCAGTGAAGATAACGCACCGTGCTACTATGTAACTATGGCAACAGGAAGTGCTGTATCAGCGGCAAGCAACACAATCATTAAACTTACATCTTAGTTTTGAGGACACTGCGACCGCTAAGGATGTTTTGTCCAACGGCACCCAGGTCCGGAAACTGACAATGGGAATGTGTTTTGTAATCATGTAATCTCGAAACGGTATTCGCAACGACAGTACAACAGTTATGGGCTGTACGACGCATTCAGTCAAATTGTCGTCATTTTACAGCATTTCAGAAAATAATCAGTCCAGCTTATCAAATTCCACTCAGCGAAATCATAAAATAGCGGTGCAAATGATACGAATGGACAATCGGCCATGACACCAGGTGTTCATGAGGAGGGTAAGCATATCCTGCTACAGATAGCAGCCACCACTCTGGCAATGTACGGGGCGGTGACGTAGTCTAGTGGTTAAAGCGTTCGCTCGACACGCCGAAGACCCGGGTTCGATTCCCCATTTCTGGTGTCCCCGCCGTGATATTACTGAAAACGGCGTAAACCCCTACTCACTCAGTCACTGACAATGTACATAAAAAAGTAAGTTTCCTAACGCACCACGGTACTATTTCTGCCCTCAGACAGCGACTCTAGACAAACAAGACAATCAAGTACATTTTCCCATTTTTGAAACTAAATACGCGTGTAAATTTTCAAGTGTGTCTGCTGTACACAGATGCAAAGATTCTGCTTCTTGGGAATAAGTAAAGTCCCAGGAACATGACTCCATCTCTCACATGCAAAACATTGTTAGTAATACCAGCCATAACCGCCTGGGTAACAAATGACACTAACACAGCCAGCTCGGTGAATGCTGTTATAACTCCAGCTACATGCCGGTTAGCGTCTGGACCAGACAAACCAGTGATGGACGTCATGAGCAACATCCCACGCCGTCGGGAGGCGATGCCAAGTTACGGACCAAGTCTGACCACCCGATCGATTTAGTCGACTCTAGCGACGACAAACAGGGGTTGTGTGAGACATGATACTTGTCTCACTGCCTTACCTGTGTTCACATAAACTCGACGTGAGTGTATGTATTTGTTCTTGACTCAAGGGGCAATGACGTACCCCATAAAGCGTTGAGCATACCATAGGACCTGTTAGGTCATGGCTAAACGTCCATAAAACTGTGTTTCGTGGTCTCGGAGTGTTCACAAACGATAGTGAAATATACATAGACGTGACTTCATATTTGTCTGGTAGGAGTGTTGGTTGATGACGAGTTTGGTTTGTTTGTACCAACAAACTCTGACGTATACATGACATACAAACAAAGTATCTGACCTACGAAAAGGACATTGGCTTATTGTTTGTCTCACGAAGTACTCAGAAATATATATGACGGTGGTCTGTAAATAATCAAATGTGCACCGGTGCACCAACATTGTGTAACATCATCTAATGGAATAAATATGGTACGTTTTAATATTAGATGGCAACGGTTTTGACGTCCAATAGGCCGTAATCCTGACTGGTCTGATGACGACATGACAACAGCTGAACGAGTGAGTGAGTTTAGTTTTACGCCGCTTTCAGCAATATTCCAGTAATATCATGGGCTTCACACTTTGTACCCATGTTGGGAATCGAACCCGGGTCTTCGGCGTGACGAACGAACGCTCAAACCATTGAGCAACCCCACCGTCCTAAAAATGTTGACCAGACAGTCTGGTGATTATCACCATGAGCATCAATGTACGTTAAAGTGATCTGACCACAAGCATTGTGATGTCACACCAAACACCAATGCAAGCATGACTATATGCCATACCTCAGACCTACATACACCCGTGAAGATCCGGGTTAGATTTTGTGTTCAGTAACCCATGCTTGTAAGAGGCGACTAACGGGATCTAGTGGTTAGGCTCGCTGACTTGGTTGACACATGTCATCGTATCCCAATTGCGTAGATCGATGCTCATGTGGTTGAACATTGAATTGTCTGGTACAGACTCGATTATTTACAGACCGACGTCATGTAGATGGAATATTGATGAGTGACGCGTTAAACAACAACAAACCAACCAACACAGATCGATGAACATGATATCAAACAGTGGATTGTCTGGTCCAAACCAACAAACATTAGAACTATACCCCTAAGGGTGCTTATTATGGATTTATAATGCCTTTGTCATGAACATAACAGCCACGGTTCTCACAGATCAAAAATGTGTCATCGAGATTTCATCCAATTCCTCTGAGATCAAATAGAGTCTCCACAATCACTGCAGCCATCCTCCATCATGTGGTCAGTGACTGGAGAGTTCAACGTCACATATCAGCAAGAGGTCTGTAGTACATGACAATCCTACCCATGTTTCCGGCACCTGACAGAGATCAGCACCTCGCCCCACAGAGAATCCCCCGAGATACCTGCTGTTGACAAGGTAACCTGCAGCCCATCGTCTCCTTGATACAGCGTCTGTACACAAGCAGAGTGGGAGTATTTGCTCAACTCCCAGATCATATTCATAAAAGCGTGCCGGAAGTACTGTATAGCATCATAACCCGCGAGGCAGAAGCCATTTAATTATGCAGGGGGTCTGATATTCGATGACACTGGCTCAAAACAGGCAGTTATTTTCTCTCAACGGAGAGACGATGATATTTTCCTCACCAATTGTATTTTCACTACATGCAAAATGCCAAACGAACGGTTCATTTCGCAAACTTAAATTAGATTTTTAAAAATGTTAAAAAAAAATGACTCCTTTCCTGTAACATACGCACGGACTCAGAAACATACACACACGCACACGCAAACGCACGCTCACACACGAACACGCGCGCATTCCCCAAAACCATACAATGGACGGTCGTCAATCCTGGTAAGATCGCATGGTGTTGCCAGCTGCGTACTTGGTACTAAATGCAGAGCGGTATTCAAACACTAAAAGCATGTTCGTCGGCACGATTCAATGGCAAAATGCAAACAACGTTCATATACCCTATTCATTAATGTGCAAAGCATACGTAATGTGAAACTGATTATTGCCTTGCCCTCCGCATGTGGATATTATGCAGCACATTAGGGTTGAACTGAATCGACCAGGCTGTATGGCTCGCCGCAACATTTCGATCAAGAGTCGTGGGATATTACACTTTGTGACAGAACGTAAATACACGTAAGGTGAATAGCACAACCACTAAAAGACCACGTAAGGCCACAACACATTTACTATTTGTTGATCTGAGTAGCACAACCACTAAAAGACAATCGTAAGGCCACAACATATTTACTATGTTGATCTGAGTAGCATAAACACTTATAGACAAACATAAGGCCACAACATATTTACTATGTTGATCTGAATAGCACAACCACTAAAAGACAAACGTAAGGCCACAACACATTTACTATTTGTTGATCTGAGTAGCATAAACACTTATAGACAAACATAAGGCCACAACATATTTACTATTTGTTGATCTGAGTAGCACAACCACTTATAGACAAACGTAAGGCCACAACATATTTACTATTTGTTGATCTGAGTAGCACAACCACTTATAGACAAACGTAAGGCCACAACATATTTACTATTTGTTGATCTGAGTAGCATAAACCACTTATAGACAAACGTAAGGCCACAACATATTTACTATTTTGTTGATCTGAGTAGCATAAACACTTATAGACAAACGTAAGGCCACAACATATTTACTATTTGTTGATCTGAGTAGCACAAACACTTATAGACAAACGTAAGGCCACAACATATTTACTATTTGTTGATCTGAGTAGCACAAACACTTATAGACAAACGTAAGGCCACAACATATTTACTATTTGTTGATCTGAGTAGCACAAACACTTATAGACAAACGTAAGGCCACAACATATTTACTATTTGTTGATCTGAGTAGCATAAACACTTATAGACTTATAGATCAAACGTAAGGCCACAACATATTTACTATTTGTTGATCTGAGTAGCATAAACACTTATATAGACAAACGTAAGGCCACAACATATTTACTATTTGTTGATCTGAGTAGCATAAACACTTATAGACAAACGTAAGGCCACAACATATTTACTATTTGTTGATCTGAGTAGCATAAACACTTATAGACAAACGTAAGGCCACAACATATTTACTATTTGTTGATCTGAGTAGCATAAACACTTATAGACAAACGTAAGGCCACAACATATTTACTATTTGTTGATCTGAGTAGCATAAACACTTATAGACAAACATAAGGCCACAACATATTTACTATTTGTTGATCTGAGTAGCATAAACACTTATAGACAAACGTAAGGCCACAACACATTTACTATTTGTTGATCTGAGTAGCATAAACACTTATAGACAAACGTAAGGCCACAACATATTTACTATTTGTTGATCTGAGTAGCATAAACACTTATAGACAAACGTAAGGCCACAACATATTTACTATTTGTTGATCTGAGTAGCATAAACACTTATAGACAAACGTAAGGCCACAACATATTTACTATTTGTTGATCTGAGTAGCATAAACACTTATAGACAAACGTAAGGCCACAACATATTTACTATTTGTTGATCTGAGTAGCATAAACACTTATAGACAAACGTAAGGCCACAACATATTTACTATTTGTTGATCTGAGTAGCATAAACACTTATAGACAAACATAAGGCCACAACATATTTACTATTTGTTGATCTGAGTAGCATAAACACTTATAGACAAACGTAAGGCCACAACACATTTACTATTTGTTGATCTTAATAGCACAACCACTTATAGACAAACGTAAGGCCACAACATATTTACTATTTGTTGATCTGAGTAGCATAAACACTTATAGACAAACGTAAGGCCACAACATATTTACTATTTGTTGATCTTAATAGCACAACCACTTATAGACAAACGTAAGGCCACAACATATTTACTATGTTTATCTGAGTAGCACAACCACTTATAGACAATCGTAAGGCCACAACATATTTACTATGTTTATCTGAGTAGCATAAACACTTATAGACAAACATAAGGCCACAACATATTTACTATTTGTTGATCTTAATAGCACAACCACTTATAGACAAACGTAAGGCCACAACATATTTACTATGTTTATCTGAGTAGCACAACCACTTATAGACAATCGTAAGGCCACAACATATTTACTATTTGTTTATCTGAGTAGCACAACCACTTATAGACAATCGTAAGGCCACAACATATTTACTATTTGTTTATCTGAGTAGCACAACCACTTATAGACAATCGTAAGGCCACAACATATTTACTATTTGTTTATCTGAGTAGCACAACCACTTATAGACAAACGTAAGGCCACAACATATTTACTATTTGTTGATCTGAATAGCATAATCATTTATAGGCAAACGTCAATTATCTGAAAAAGATTTTGACATTTGGGCCTAAGGCACTTTTGAGATATAACATGTTTACAAGACGGCGTTGAATGTACATCATGAATGCTTACAGTTTTCGTGCAACCAATACACCCAAGTGAATGAGTGAGTGAATAAATTTGGTTTAACGCCACTTTTAGCAATATTCCAGCAATATCGCGGCGGGGGACACCAGACATGAGTTTCACACATTGTATCCAAGTGGGGAATCGAACCCGCGTCTTCGGCGTGAGGAGCAAACGCTTTAACCACTAGGCTACTCCACGTCCTGTGGACTGTAGATATCGGATATTATTGAAACTGTTTATTATGCCAGGACAGGAGTACCCGTTTCATATCTGGTGCAGCGTCATGAATACGACATGCCAACCTGTTAATCCCTGCCACCTGCTGTCGGACTCGGGTACAGTCTTGTCACAATGCTGTAACTGCCAGAGCTATTAATGGAGTTATGTCCCTTGTATGACATGACCAGCTCCTGAATGGAACCCCATTTGTTATTGCAGAAGGCATTCCAGTCATGTATAACGCCTTTTGTAGCCTGGTCGGCAGTGAATGTCTGTTGCTGGAGTGTGAAAGCCAGATAAACAGGAGTATTGTGTGTAAGATTCACAACAACCGGATATGGCGAGTGAGTTGTACAGTGTGTACAATTAACATGCTGGTGGCCGATCTTTTTATTTGATTTGTATTCATACACGTTATTGCGAGATAACTTTCAAGTCGAGTGAGTAAATGAGTGGGTGGGTGAGTTGATGAGTGAGTGAGTAAATGAGTGGGTGGGTGGGTTGATGAGTGAGTGAGTAAATGAGTGGGTGGGTGAGTTGATGAGTGAGAGGGTGGGTGAGTTGAGGAGTGAGTGGGTAAAGGAGTGGGTGGGTGAGTTGATGAGTGAGTGAGTAAAAGAGTGGGTGGGTGAGTTGATGAGTGAGTGAGTGGGTGGATAGGAGAGAGTGTGTATGTTGGTGAATGGTTATCTGGAGTGAGTGAGTGGATAAGTACGAGTTTGTGTGTTAATGAATGACTGGGCTAGAGTGAGTGAGTGGGTGGATAAGTACGAGTTTGTGTGTTGGGGAATGGGAGGGCTTGAGTGAGTGAGGGCTAGAGTTAGTGAGTGAGTGGACAAATACGAGTTTGTGTGTTGATGAATGGCTGGGCTAGAGTGAGTGGGTGGGTGGATAAGTACGAGTTTGTGTGTTGGGGAATGGGACGGCTTGAGTGAGTGAGTGGATAAGTACGAGTTAGTGTGTTGGGGAATGGGAGGGATACAGTGAGTGAGTGGACAAGTACGAGTTTGTGTGCTGATGAATGGCTGGGCGTGAGTGAGTGAGTGGGTGGATAAGTGCGAGTTTGTGTGTTGGGGAATGTTGGGTTGCTTTTTGGAATAGGTGGGTTTGTGTGTTGATGAATGTTGAGTGAGTTAGTGAGTGAGTGAGTGAGTGAGTGAGAGTGATTGAGTTTATACGTGCGAGTTTTTGTGGGGGTGTATCGGTGGGCGAGAGTGACCGAGTGAGATATCACAACACATGTGACTGAATTGCGTTGTTATGAAATCCCAAAGTCCTGAAGACCAGAGACCTGTATCTCTTGAATCATACAATGCTGTTTGGGTTTTGTTTTTCGTTAAAAACAAACCCCCAAACACATACACAGTGTTAACCACGGATATTAACCGTGTCGATTCCCTGGACTTAAACCAGCAACCAACGATCTCGTTAAACCTCTACAAACTATCGTTTTGGTTTTCGTTTGTTTGCATTCAGAAATATTCCAGCTATATGGAGACGGCCGTGAGGGCCAATACTAAGGATTTTCACTAATAAAAACAACCAACGTTCCACAATAACTACAAGCATAAAAATTAACTTTGATACATGTAATGACGAACAAAGCATGTGTCAACCAATAAGCAGAGATTGAATAAAGCATTCCAATCACGAGCAACCGAATCATGTAACAGTAATGTGTGTTCATTAATTACTTAATTACTTCTTTCAACCTGAAACTGAATATATGTTCAAACGGGTAACATTTGGAAATAATTTGGACAATGATATCTATGAAAACTGTCGAAGGTCAACGTGTGAGTCATCATAATATAAAGGCATATATGTTACAAACAATATACCATCATATATGAGGCACATGTCGTTAGTGTTGAAACTGTCGCCGCTGCGAATCAGTGACACAGATGTTCCACACGCTATTTACGTTATCGGCGTGTCCATGCATAGACCGGGAGCTGGGTATCTAGGACATGATATAATTATTAATGTTTCAAACATACAGTTATATTACAGGCCATGCTACCAGTGTTGAAACTGTCTACAAGTCATATGACGATCACACAATCAGCTACATTCTGACATTTTGTGTTTACGGACAACGGAGTTGGGGATCGGGGCCGAAGTTTGTAGAGTACTCACAGTTAATGAGATGTACTTGTCAGCTCCATGGTGTACTTCCTTATATTCAACGGAAACGAGAGTTCTTGTCAACACTGACGGACATCTACTAACTAGGCCATGCTCGGGAGGTGTGTCACGGGACAGATGCATTACAGTGAACAGTGGACTTACGTAGAGTAAATATATCTGCCTACTGGGACATTAGCTTGTCATCGTCTCCACACACACGGGTCAGTATCCAGGATACCTGTAGCAATCTCACGTTCAGGTCTTAGGGCGAAAGGTCATTGTTAAAGTCATAGTATATATACGATAACCGATGAATATATGCGGGATATTTTAGGATGTAGAATTTCGGATACGAGCTGTTTTCAGGTCTTGTGTATGAACAGCAGGGTAGACTAGTGGTTGAAGTGTTCGCTCGTCACGCCGGAGACCCGGGTTCGATTCCCACATTGGTACGATGTAAAGCCCATTCATATTGTCCCTCGCCGTAATATTGCTGGAATACTGCTAAAAGCTGCGTAAAATCATATTCATTCACTGTGTATAAACAGAATAGTTTAAATTAATTTCGGATAGGCATTCGATGTTTCGTCTCAGTGCCGACAATTATATATTATTTATGGCATAACCAATATCATTTTCTATCGAACCCGATACCCTTTAATATATTCACGAAACTATTGTTAATAATTGCTTATAAAAAAAGAAAATTAAATGGATGCGTTTGGATTGTATTTGCGCTGAATTATTGAAAGCACAGCGATAGATACTGAGTTTTGGCTCAGTGCTTTAGAGTGAGCCTTTACCAGATTGTGTACTATATTAAAATGCCCTGGGGATGAATTATCTTATCGTTGTGACAACATTTAACCGTGACTTCCCCACATGAGCCGAATTCCTTGGTGTGGTGAGGATAACAAATACCCATCTGTTCAATAATTAACGGATGGCGTCAACAGTACTGATGTTTTGAACAAACGCTGTACACTGGGACGATACGCGTAGACAGCTGAACCACTTCGTGCGACCTGATCGAATCGGTTTAAATCACTCCTAGTTTTGCCGCTAAGTGGAACAGGGCGAGTGATAAACAACTTAACAAATCTTACCTTCACCCATACCGACATCAGATTGAGAACAGGCAGAAGTATCCTACATGTCGTCTGCGTGTTGTGACAGTGTCGTCTGCTCGGGATGATAGTGTCGTCTGCTGATAGAACCTCGCATTGTTAATGACCATGCATACTTTCAGTGTTGACGCCTCGATGTAAACAGTCCATGTGTCAACCTGAATTCCGTAGTGTCCCCTTCCACAGCAATGGGTTTCCTTAAAGGGGCGTTCTCCTTGAGGCGTGGTCTGGGTTTTCTCCCATGTGACTGCAAACAGGTCTAACTGTTCGGGTCAGTTCATCCGATTGATCCCCATTTTAGAGGACTGACGCCTGATCCCCGAGGCTCAGTCTTTGGCAGTGGCTATAGATAAGTACTGACCCGCTTTCGCCGTTAGAAGATACGCTCCTATACAGAGAGGGCACGTGGTGTATACAGTCGCCAATAGCATATGTACAAAGACTGCTTTCAGCGTTGAACGTTTTATAGACATACATTAAAAGCGACAAATGTAAACAGGCTATGGAGATTGTCAGCTGTAGCATATGGTAGATGGCATCGAAGGAGGATAGATGTAATAACACATAAATGTAGCTGCGGTAACAGCAAGTAAATGTTGGACTCAACAAACAAAACGAACACGGAAGCTGGCCTCCCGCCTCGTCCTTGAGGCGTAAGGTAAACTAGGACACACTGTCGAGAAGGGATGTGTCTTTATTTCAACACGTGGGTTCATCTCTACGGTTCGATGAGCGTATCCGGTGTAAGCTATAACCAGTTGCATGTGTGTCATCGTAGGCACCTGTGTTAATTACTCTCTCTTATAAACTAGAGCACCACCTGTTGCAACATGGCGCTATATTCTGAACATGATGATGATTGTTTGTATAGGCAGTTAGTTCATCAGTTTCAAATGTCGGAGGCGAAGCCATATTTACATGGCAAACATTCGGCCTTGGAAATAGGTCGTAACAGAGACCATATAATTATTATATTGTCTCCCACATAATAATTTATTATATGGTCTCTGGTCGTCAAATCACGGGGACACATCTTTGGGTAGACTAATGCTTAGTCTCTGAATATATATAATTTTGATTGTAACAAATAAACCCATTAAATTGAAAAGGAGCCCCAGGGAGACCAGAGATTCCTGTAGAAATCTAGACTTGCTTCATTTAGGGCTTTAGCATTACAGGGAGGGTTAGGCTGTAGGGAAAATAATATGGTTCAGGGACTAGACTCGGTCTCTGCATTTATATAATGATAGGAACACAAAATCCCATTTAAATTGAAACGGAGCTCCAGTGGGATGGGAGATTGAGAATCTGAGTAAGGAGATAATCTCCAGGTGATATTTTTGTAAGACACAGTTTGTTTATCATGTTGTTGTTTAACACTGTAGTCAACAATAATCCAGCTATATGGCGGCGGTCTCTATATTCGCCTACATCTCAATTCGCCTACATCCCATTTCGCACACAGAAATAATGTAGGCTAATTGGGATTAGAAATTGCACCCCTACTCTTATAATGAGCCTGACTCACTGGTCAGTGCCATACTACATCTTGATCGACTGTTGTTATAAGGTTATGTGTTCGATTTCAACGAACAGTGTACACAGCCAGGTATAAGTTGTCCAAGACAGAATTGCTTGCACCTTGTAATTCTTTTTACCAATGTAAAGTCAACCTATTTGCCTCTTATGAAAATTAGTTGCCATCACTAATCTCTAAAAGTGACAAGTTGGTGGATCAGTGAAGTTGAAGGCTCATTTTCTGAATTGCCTACAAATACCAACATCATACCATGTATGACTATCAACTAGTCTCTGAAATGAGCATGTTTTACTGAAAAAAAGTTCATAGTAAATTTTTTTTAGATATAATGAAAAGGAGCCCTGAGAATTTCTTCATTTTCAGATCTAGACTTGCCACATTTTCTAGACTTGCGTGGGATTTCTTGGATATATTTGCTTCATGGTCTGTACGAGAGACTAGGCGGTGGGGTAGCCTAGTAGTTTAAGCGTTCGCTCGTCACACTGAAGACCCGGGTTCGATTCCCCACATGGGTACAATGTGTGAAGCCCATTTCCGGTGTCCCCCGCCGTGAATATTGCTAAAAGCGGCGTAAAACCATACTCACTCAGGACAGTCCAGTGATTGACATCATGAGCATCGACCTACGAAAATGGGATACAAGGACATATATCAACCAAGTCAGCGAGTCTGATCCTGTTAGTCCCGTAATGTGCAGGCGTAATATGCAAGAATTGATTGATATATGTTCATATAATTAGCAATAGTATTTCATGTCATGTGAAATATTTCAGTGAGTAAAGCACATGCAGTGATGTTTGTTCATCAAACCTCCGATGAATTGCGAGGGGAAGAGGTATCTTTGGTTCAAATCCCATATTCGCCATGGTGTTCCTAGGTTTATCAGCATCAAACCCGTCCTCGTGGGTTTCACCAAAGTGGGAACTACCCGGTACCTGCATTACTCCGGGTGTATCTCCCCAGCAATATCACGACGTGGACTCCAGAACTGAGCTGCGCACATGAACGGAATCCAACGCTTTCACAACCTCACTACCCAACGACGTCTGGGGTTCGATTCTCGAACACCAGGACATAGGGATTATGAGGTTGAGTGGGAATGTAGTAACGTAAATCATATGATAGGTGGGGGTTAGCAATTTTGTACACATGTACTAGGGGATTTCAGCAATTTTGTACATGATAATATTATGTAAAAATATGCAGGGGGGGTGGTGGGGGTGGGGCAAGTAGTTTGTACATACAATTTAGGAGGGTCATTCACATTGTACGTGCCTCTCCATAAAAATCATTATAATTGATTATTATTTACAGGCCATCATGATATACCTGGAATACTGGTGATTGTTTGTGGTGTCAAACAAGGACAAATTCTTCAAATTCTTTACTTTTAGGAATTGACGAAAGCATTCCTAAAATCCTTGATTCTCAAAATGCTAATTATGTCCCTTTGAACAACTATTTTATGCACTACACGCGAGAGGTGTCGCCTCTGTTGGAGCGAGTACGTTACGTCTTTCTTCATTGGGTTTCCAGAGGATATCTACCAATCAAATCAAGCGTTACATTTACGCGCACCTGCCAGATTCGTGAGCTGTTTCCGGTTGGGTCCTCCCAATTTTTATATCTTACTCAGCATCATGGCAGACGAATCAGATTTGTCTAAATCCTTTTTGTGGAGTGTAAAAAATGGAGAGGTCGCTGAAGTGAGAAATCTTCTAGCCAAAGAGGTGACTATTATTTTCATTTCCAATACCGATTCTTTTATTTGTTATATATTGCTCTGTTTGTGGATCTACGTGACAATTTGACAGAACTCCGGTTTTCGTGTATTTGGACAACTCACAAGTGTGAATTTAATGTGGACCTAATGTTTAATAGAGAGGTTGATTAGACCCTTCGCATCCCTACGCAACTTTGAGAATATGTGTCCAAAGGTTTGGGTACCTCCTGCAGATATGTATTGCAGGGGCCACTACCGGTTCCCGAGTTGACATGTCGCATTCTTGGCGTGTAGTTGTAGACGCCGTACCCAAAGAAGTTTTCGCCACCAAGATTGATTTAATCTTACGCAAGATGTCGTTGACTCCCAGGTCTAATTTTAGGTAACAAAAAACAATCTGCTATTATGCTGATATACGGAAAGCAACGTGTCACTGTTCAGTGTTCTGTAAAGCATGCAACAAGGAAGGAGTTTTGATCCGACTCATCTGCCATAAATCTTTTAAGACAAATTGAATTCATTTCAGTTTCTATTTAACAGTTCTGTCATTTTTTATACTTTCTATATAAGTTTTTACACATTAAGACTTCAGTGTGTATTACTTCTTTGATGGGTATTTTAGAAGTTCAGTGTGGATTCTCTGGAAAATGCTAAAAAAATATAATGTCCTTGTTTTCTTCTCTGAACAGTTGATGAATTCTGATCTTTGAAGACCCGCGAAGGTCCGGGTTACAATTGATCTTCAGTAAAACATGCTTGTCGTAAGAGGCGACTAACGGGATCGGGTGGTCAGGCTTGCTGACTTGGTTGATGCATGTCATTGCTTCCCAGTTGTGTAAATCGATGCCCATGCTGTTGATCACTGGATTGTCTGGTCCAGACTCAATTATTTACAGACCGCTGCCATATAGCTGGAATATTGCTGAGTGCGGCATAAAACTAAACTCACTCACGCTCTGATCTTTGAACACAAAACACCATTGATGATTTTAAGTATATGTAGGTCATTGTATTATCATGATTATCAAATTCAATTAACGTAGGCTTATGTTATCACACAACATCTTCCTGACAATGGTCTCACTTGCAGTTTAGCTTATGAGGCTTCAGCCTCAAGTTTCCATGCCAGTCAAGCTTTTTAACATGTAAAAACACCCATTTCCTCTACTTTATTATAAGAAAAACAATCAGCTTACACTTGTATTCATCCAATGCTTATACCCATCAGTGAGCTAATGCAATCAGTGTGATCAATGAACACAGTATGTATTATAGAAAATCTTACTACAGTCCGTTTGAGACAAAATGATACCGATGAATTGCAATCTAACACACAAAAAAATAGACATAAAACGATCAAACCAACGCGGACTGCAATAAAAACAACAGACAAACTCTAGACAAAAATTGCATAATTTGTGCCACAGAAATAAAAAAGGTGTTTAAGAAACTGTCATCGTTTATTTGTGCGTTTTTCCAGTTTGTTACAAGGGCGCATTGGCAACTAAAGGAAAAGCGAGATGCACATGCATTAGTGACGTCAGAGACATGTGATTACTGCTGATTGACATAGTGAGAGAAAATAAAAGTTAATAATTTATGAAGTCTATGATATCTTCAAGGATGAAAATGACAGGGGGTGACCCAAGTATGCAATTACTAAGTACATACAGCTCACTGCCTGTGCAGCTTGGGTACGTGTAATCGCGCCAGTTCAAAAATTGGTTGAGGACCCGTTATCGCACGTGCATCTCGTTTTATGTCTATTTGTTTTTGTGTTAGATTGCAATTCATCGGCATCATTTTGTCTCAAACAGACTGTACAGACAATGAAAGAAAGTTTCAATTGTGATGAAAGTTATTGTAAATCATTTTGATTAACGAAATAGTACAGCATGCAAATAGGAACAAACACTATCTATGCTATACATTTTGACATGGCCATTTTAAGTTTTTAGTTTGACCTATTTGACATTTTGTTGTGGAGAATGTGGCTAAGGTTTATGTCCCTTTTTACTTTTTGGTGAGGTCCTTTAACAAGGGTTTAATAATGGTGTCTGACATTAAGCACAGTGAAGCAACAATAATGGTTGATAGAATTGTGTGTTATTTGTAACCAGCACTGAAGCTAATCCTGAATCATGAGTAATTTTCAACAACAGGCAATGTTTTGCATGAAATGTGTTAACTAATGACTTTATGTTGATATTCATTTTCCTTGCAGAAATCTCTAATCACAAAGGCGATAGCTGGAAGGAGCCCAATCCATTTTGCTGCAGATTATGGCCAAAATGAGGTTGTGGAGTTGTTAGTGGATAATGGGGCTGGTATAGATGTGAGTACAGTGATCCAATGGAACTTCCTTGTCTTGCTGCATAATATATTACTTTGAGTCATGCAGCCTTTTGTTTCATGAGCGTCATAATCATGGGTGTCAAGTGATCATGGTGCTGCAATATGCATGCTGAGATACATTCCTCAGCCATGCCAGAAAGTGACGATTGATGGGGGCCATTTACAGTTTGGCTAGAGTGGTGGGGTAGCATAATGGTTGTAGTGTTGGCTCGTCATGCAGAAGGCTCGGGTTCGATTCCCTACATGGGTACAGTGTCACTAGCATGATGATTATAATATTGACAAACTTATACATCTCCTCCTTGGATTTAACAATGGTACAAGAATCTGTATCAAAACATTGAACTGACTAAATTAAAGAAGCTGTTATCTGTGATGGTTGCCCATCAATCCCATGTCAGTCAGGCTTTCTTTTTACGTGGTTTTCACCAGATTTGTGAATGTCTTTGACCTCTGTCAGTGATGCAGAGTTTTCATCATGCAGACATTTCTGAAAGCATGAAAGCACACTGCAAGAATGAGGTGCATGTATGTCAGCATGTGCACTGACATGACATGACATCAGTATAATTCTTGGAAATCAAGGAGGAACAGGTCATCAAATGAGCTGAAATTCCCTGTGAAGAGTTTATCCCTTGGGCACACCAAAACCTATGATTCTGGGTTTGATTCTGGGTTTGCCGTGATTGTGGTTTCCTGGTTTGTCATGTGGGTTTAACCAAAGGAGTAGATAAACTAGACCTGTTTGGGGGGACTTTGGGGTTTCTCTGCTGCATTGAGCTACTCTGGGATATATCTGGAATACTGAAATTAGTGAAAAGCAGAGTTAAATCCAACTGACTCTTGGAAATGTAGTCAACTGTACAAGGTCATTATCCTAGGCCCACCATGGTCATTCCTTGCCCCTTCCCCTGTTAAATCATAACAATCTGAAAGACCATGGTAGGGCACTGGCTTTCCTTGATCATGAAAATGACAGATTGTATGCAGTATTTTTATTACTTTAAATGTTTGTAAATAATATTGGGCAAACAAGTTTACAGTCTGTACCAATAGTGTTTTAGACCACTAGCCCAAACATAGCTCTTTATTTCAGAATTTCTGGTTATTATACAGCCGATCAGTAGATGAGCTTACAAGACTGAACAGATTGTACTTGACATGGGCTTTGGACAAGTGGCTGAATTCTCAGACTGGATTTTTTTGTTTCTGCAGTGATTCTAGCACTTTGCTTTGAACTTCAATAAAAGCATGGCAACAGTGAACTCATATCTAAAATACAACATGTTCCTATGTTGGCTGGTTCAAGAAATACTTTTTGACCAGCACACAAAGAAAGTAATGAACTTATTGTCTATTTAGGTTGAGGACCAATATGGTATCACCCCATTGCTGTCTGCCATCTTTGAGGGTCACAAAGACACTGTTGCACTCCTGCTGAAAAAGGTAAGTCTTTTGTTCTAGCTCCCCTGACTGAAAGTCACCACTATCAATAATATTTAACTCCACACTGAAGGATGATTCATCTGTGTCTGCCCTAGGGCTGCAACGATTCGGTTCGATTCATCGAAAATCGAATCTTACACCTTAGTTTCGATTTTTGATAACCATTATCTCTATTTCGATTTCAACACAGCCAGAATATAATTTTGACTCCAACTCAAGCAGTTTCGGGCACTGAAATAGGCGAACTGTGATTGGTTGATGCTGGGCTAATTATCCAATGAAGATTGTTGTTAGTAGACATTGCCAAGTTGATGATGGATTTCATTCTAAAGAAGCTGACTCTGGGAGTAAAATGAAATCTGACGTTTTTACTTGTATGAAGAATCGACTACAAAATGATCGAATTGAGTGTCCAATATTGAAAATCGATTCGATGTCTGGGTGAATTGTTGCAACCCTAGTCTGCTCTGATGCAGATATTTGGATGTTATATACACATGTCAGTAAGTTGCCAACTTGAAATTAACTGGAAATGTGAACATAGTGACAACGAATATCCATTGCTTAGTAGAGATAACAGGACCAATGAAAGGGAAAAGGTGTTACCGCATTGCAGGCAAGCTTATACCTTTAACAAATCTAAATTTTAAAATTTATTCTGTTTATCATATTGCATTTGGCTTATCAATTGAAAGCAAACATCATCCTCTACATCTTCTACTCCCAAGACAGCCATTGCCAGGTTTAACTGGCATAGCAATCTTACATAACCAATTCCAGGTTTCGGCTTAGCTTCTGTGACAACCGTCATCCCCACCGCACCCAGATCTCAGGGAGGCCATTCAGTCCAAGTACAAATCATTTCGTGGCTGGAGAGGCAAAGGACAGGGTGGTTAGGACAGTATGATAAGCCATTTGCAACAGTCACAAGAACAGTCAGCCATTAATGATACACTGGAGACCAGTGATTGAGAAGAGACAGTTCAACCACTCTGCGAAAAAATGATGCTACTTCAGATCAAAGCTGCTAAGATCTTTAGGTGCTAGCTGTTCCCTCTAGGCTGGAGACTTAGTCTCTATAGGGGGCGGTGGGGTAGCCTAGTGGTTCAAACGTTCGCTTGTCTCGCAGAACTTCCTGGATCAATTCCGTTTATTGGTACAATGTGTGGAGCCCATTTTTGGTGTCCCCTGTCGTGATATTGCTGGAATATTGCTAAAAGCGGTACCCAACACACTCATTCACTCATGGTAGGAGCTGCGGGCATGTGCCTACCAAGAGCTCTTCTCCCTTGGATACTCCAGAAGATAAGAACCACCATCAAGAAGTCGGACAAATGCAATATATTGGGCAGAATATATCAATTTTTTTTAAGATATTGGTAGTAAATAAACCTGTCAAATTTTTAAACTTATCTTATCTCATGACTTGCACCTCTCTTTCTTGCTTCGACTTTTAGTGGAACGACTGTAAACTTTTTTCCATAGACCTCCTTGTCCATTTGTCCGTGCACTCCATGTTGTTCTCCTTAATTAGCTTCTAAGTTCCTAATAAAGCTTGCAGCGTGCTCCACTAATTGCCCACGTGACTACCTTGAATGATCATTCTCTTTCTTGTCGCACGACTGTTTGGATGTGCTGTATATTAGGGACATTATTTCACCCTAATATCATGGGGAAAACAGATAATCAGTCAAGGAAAAGGAAAGTTTGTGCTCAATGCAAGACGAATTATTCGTCCCTCGACCCTCACTCGTCTTGCAGTGACTACCAGGGGACCTTATATCGACAGATCATCATCCAGATCATCGGTACACATCTCCTCGACTGTCTCAGTTTGTTTGGTGCCTGGCCAACTGCGTTCAACCAGCCAACTGTCCCCCACAGTTCATTGAACCGGACGGAGCTGGCTACAACAGCGTCGCCGGGGGACGTTCATCATGGATCAACACCTCAGGTTTCGTCACCTAATTGCGGATCCAGATCACCACATCATTCTAGATCACCTTCACGATCCAGATCACCATCACAAACCCGATCTAGATCACCGTGCCGATCAAGATCACCGGATCGATCCAGATCACAGTCACGATCCAGAGCACAACTAGGATCCACATCACCTGATCAATCCAGATCACCTAACCGATCCAGATCACCAAATGGGTCCAGATCACAACTTCAAATCAGATCACCGGACTGATCTAGATCACCTATCCGATCAAGATCACAACATCGAAGTAGATCATCTGGATCCAGATCACCGAATGGATCCAGATCCCAACTTAGAATCAGATCACCAGACCGATCCAGATCACCGAATGGATCTAGGTGACCTAACCGATCCGGATCACAACATCAAAGTAGATCGCCAGACCGATCCAGATCACCTGTTCGATCCAGATCACCTTATAGATCCAGATCACGATCACAGTTTCCAGTTAGTGCATCGAATCGATCCAGATCATTTTACAAATCCAAATCATCCTACCAACCCAGGTCACCTATACGATCTTGATCACCTTAAAGAGCCATTGACCATCGGGATCATAGTACAGATCCACATCTCATGGGCGATCCTATTCAGATGATCGAACCTGAGCTCCAATCAGAACCAGATCACCAACTAGAACTACAGCGACCCGGACTAGTTCTTCATATCATACCGGATCACCTAGCTAGCTAGATCACCGGCCTACCAACCTACTTCGGTACTTACCACGTCGAGATCTCGATACAGTTCCTCTGACCGACGTTCGGGTGATCATTGCTCTGATACCACTAATAGGCCTACAGTCTCTTACGATGTTCCGTCTACACGCTCTGAGAATCCTTCGACTCACTCTAGGATCATCGCTGAGTCATGGGAACCTGATAACAATCCCACTACTACAGCGACTCCGGATATAAATATGATGATCAGGGCCATAACCTCAGCCTGGAACCAAATACAGCCTTCTACTCCAGCCCATCCGGCTTCGGTAGCTCCTGGCTCTTCATCTGGTCCACCTCCTGAACACCACATCGCTCGGGAGCACCCATCTCACTGGGAGTCGTTGTGCTTAGTAAGCCAAGGGGTTCCGGAGAACCCACTACAAGCATAGGAGTTGTGTGCATAGGATAAGTTTAAAAATTTGGAAATTTTAATATAAATTGTATATTTATATACTTATCCTATGTCACGCGCGATGGATGCCCGCCTGGCCTCCCCACTACTCAGATTACAACGTTGGCTCCAAGATGAGAATGATCATTCAATGTAGTCACGTGGGCAATTAGTGGAGCACGCTGCAAGCTTTATTAGGAACTTAGAAGCTAATTAAGAAGAACAGCAGTGCACGGGCAAATGGACAAGGAGGTCTATGGAAAAAAGTTTACAGTCGTTCCACTAAAAGTCGAAGCAAGAGAGAGAGGTGCAAGTTGTGAGATAGGTGAGTATATAAATATACAATTTATATTAAAATTTCCAATTTTGCACTGTGAAGAGAATGACTAGAAGCACAAAGCTCACCCCGAGCATTATATTGTGTGGCTTGGAACATGAGAGACACATGTTCTTGTTTTCACCACCATCGAGAGCAGGCAGCAGAAGCGCAACATGTGAAATAAAACAGGTTTTAAACTATATGCTTTAAGCAGTTCATTATTTTACAGAAACGTTATTTTATTAATTTTCCAATTTGCCTGTCAACGGCACTTAGTTTTAACTAAGTTGGAAAATGACTTTCCTTGTATTTTTTCTGTATTTTATGCATTTGAACTAGAAACAACTGTGTTGTTGAACAAAGTCAGATGAAGCCTTTCTATCATCTTACTCCAGGGAATGAATTACTGTTGGAATTTTACACCAGAAATATTACATCTTCCAACTGGAATGGATTTTGATAAATCTGTGAGTCTTGAGGGGTTCACAAGCAGGACATTACTGACAAAACTGTGAGGGACATGCACCAGGCAATAGATATATGACAACAGTAATTCACATAGACCTACAACAAACAAAATGTCTCTTATTTGCTTCCACTCACTTTCAACTTTAAATAAATAATATCCCTTTCGTTTTTAGTTTCCTTATTTTCATGTTGTCACTGTCAACAGTCTGGGGCGGTGGGGTAGCCTAGTGGTTAAAGCGTTGGCTCGTCACGCCGAAGACCCGGGTTCGATTCCCCACATGGGCACAATGTGTTAAGCCCATTTCTGGTGTCCCCCGCCGTGATATTGCTGGAATATTGCTAAAAGCGGCGTAAAACTAAACTCAGACAGTCAGTCAGTCAACAGTCTAATCAGCCAAGGTTACAAGTGTGGCATGTTTGTCAAGCTGCTTACGTAACACCGAGTAATCAAAACATACACCACCCACTGTATACAGTTTACTATCTGCTACTGCAACATTACTTGTCTTCCTCAATATGGGGGGGCAGTGGGGTCGCCTTGTGGTTAAAGCGTTCACTCGTCATGCAGAAGACCTGGGTTTGATTCTCCACATGGTTTCAATGTGTGAAGCCCATTTCTAATGTCCCCCACCGTGATATTTCTAAAACAATACTCACTCACTCCTCAACATTCATCTACAGTTTAATAGTCAATGACTGAAACTGAGATATGATTTAGCTGCGTAGTAGTCAAAGTCAAAGATGCAGCACATGTTACAGACATTTCATGAAATTGATTACAGTTCAGATAAGAGATTGCATTTAAGCATAACAGCATGTTTTACATAAAGCCCTTGATTACATATTACATTTTCATTTCTGGAGGATAGAATGGAAACAAAGTCGCTTTTCTTAAATCAGCATAATGTTAATTTCATCTTCTAAAGACGGGTTACATAACGGACATATTCTTCTATGAAGCACAATCGGTTGAATTTGTGAATCAAACAATATGAAACATATTTTCCGGGTTAAAATTCCAAAATTCTGGGAAACTGACATAAATTTGAGAAGAGCATTCTTAGCATGTGATTTCGGATATATAACACTCTTTTTATCACCCCGGCATGTAATACGGGGGGATATAGTCGACGCCTTGTCCGTCCGTCCGTCCGTAATAATTTTCTTTCCGGAGCATAACTCGAAAACGGTTCAATATTTTTCAACAAAACTTTGCAGATATATCAAACAGAACCTAAAGTGGTGCCTTTTGCTATTTACAGATTTTGTCATATCTATTGTTCTTGGTTTCCATGGAAACATTTTGGACCTTGTCTAAAAAAATGAAGTTCAACTTATAGTAACTGTCAGATGATTTTCTCTTTCATATTTGTATGGCCTGGGGTATTTGTCATCTTCTGATGACTCTTGTTTAGTATGGAAAAACACTAGTCCGAGATAGGCATAGTGATTAACAATAGATAATTGTTTGCCATTCAAAAACATTTTTCTTTATAGGCAACAGATCCACCTCTTCTAAAGATACCTGTGTTAAAAGATAATTTTCCATTCATTTGTATGCCGTTCCAAAATATTATAAATAGTATGATGCTGTTTATTCACAAAATTGAAAGTGGTTGAATGGTGTTCATAATCTAGTTCTCATGGTTGTACTGAATGTAAAGTTACATCTTGCATCTTTATTCTTTCCAAATACGCCTTTGATAATTCCAACATTTTGTGATAATGAAGAAATGTGTTCCTGAGTTTGAATGAAACAGTTTAATTAAATCATTAGTTTCACATTTATGCTCTTTGTCAAAAGCCTTTAATATAAAATACAATTTTTTCAGATGACATATTACTGACTTCACCTGAGAATATATATTTGATGGTCATGGTCAAATGTATCTAATAGTATTATGTAACATTGTAGCAGGAGAGTCAATGAAAATTTTCTTCATCACAAATATCAATGTTTTGGTTAATGTAATAAATTAACAAATATTGTGTGTATTTATGATTGTGTGAAGGAAATATCTTAACAGGGTGGTTAGGACTGACTGAAAGGGAGGAAGGAGGCCAGTTTTTACACTTAAATGGCCAGGGAAAAATCCATACTTGTCAGGGAAAAGTCAGGGAATTTTGGCCTGCCATGCCTGTGGGAACCCTGATTCACTATTCAGTACTTAATTGACTGGGTTTCAGTGATCAAATATATGGAAAACTAACTTTGATCCTTTAGTTTTACTAACAGTGCAAAACCAACCAGATGCAATTAAGTTTTTGTCAGTCAATCTCAATAATTTCATAATACAAAACTTTCCAGACCTACAGTTCATCTCTCACTATTCAGTGTTTAACATAATTATCCCCCTCAACGCGTTTTGTGGGGGGGGTATTAAAATGGACTCCGTCCGTGCACATTTTTCTTTTCCGGAGCAGAACTCTAAAACCGTTCAATTTTTCTTCACCAAACTTGGCACATACATGGATCTGATGGTGTACTGGTGCCTTTTGGTACTTTTGGAATTCTGAATTAAATATTTTTGGCGTTTCCATGGCAACAAGTTCGACTTTGACTGAAATTAGTTGTAGTGCTCTTTTCTGGAGCAGAACTCTAAAACCATTCACTATTTCTTCACCAAACTTGGCACATAGATTGGTCTGGTGGTGCCTTTTGGTAGTTTTGGAATTCTGAATAAAATATTTTTGGCGTTTCAATGGAAACAAGTTTGACTTAGTCTGAAATTGTGGTAGTGCTCTTTTCCGGAGCTGAACTCTAAAACTGTTCCCTATTTCTTCACCAAACTTGGCACATAGGTAGATCTGGTGGTGTACTGGTGCCTTTTGGTAGTTTTGGAATTTTGAATAAAATATTTTTGACATTTCCATGGCAACAAGTTTGACTTAGCCTGAAATTGGTAGTTTGACTTAGCCTGAAATTGGTGGTTGTGCTCTATTCTGGAGCAGAACTCTAAAACCATTCACTATTTCTTCACCAAACTTGGCACATAGATTGGTCTGATGGTGAACTGGTGCCTTTTGGTAGTTTTGGAATTCTGAATAAAATATTTTTTGTCATTTCCATGGCAACAAGTTTGAATAAAACTGAAATTAGTGGTAGTGCTCTTTTCCGGAGCAGTACCCTAAAACCGTTCAATGTTTCTTCACCAAACTTGGCACATACATAGATCTGGTGGTGTACGGGTGCCTTTTGGATATTTTGGAATTCTTAATAAAATATAATTGGCATTTCCATGGAAACAAGTTTGATTTAGACTGAAATTGGCGATAGTGCTCCTTTCTGGAGCAGAACTTTAAAAACCTTTCAATACTCTCCTTCCACTTTTCTATATACACACTTAAATATTTGACATAATCATAACTCGTAGACATAATCATGAAGAGTATTTTGCCATTGCGGGGGATATTGATGACTTTGTCTTCTTGTTTAATTTGTTTCAGGGAGCAAAGTGGAACTCTTACTTTGATCCTTCAGTTATACTAACAGTGCAAAATCTGCTAGGTGCAGTTAATACTACTGTTAGCCAATCACAAAACTTTCATTACATACAGTATATTTTTCACTATTCAGTATCAAACTTTATTTGTTTCAGGGAGCGAAGAAGAACGGAACGTCGCCAGACGGGAAGACGTATCTAGAATGTGCGGAAACAGATGAAATTAAGTCTCTCCTAAGCAATCCTTAGATGAAGGATATTTAATGTTTGACCACAATCTTTGTCCGAAAGCAGACCAAGTGTACAGAACATTTCCTATAACTCCCGAGTATTTACGCAGTGCGTTAATGGAGGAGGTGTGACGACATGAGCTGTCACTGCTGTCTCTCAGTTTTATGTCCACGTGGTGGATACGTAGAAACCAATCTTTTTTGATGTTGCTAACAGGGAGTTATACACCATCTTGTAAGAACATTCGTTGACAATATACTGAGCAAAACAAATAAAGGAACACAGGAAAATTCAAGTGTTCCTTTGATATTTTCTTGTTTTCATAACCAGCATTGAATAGCGCTTTGGGAGGAAATCTGAGAATAAATAAAGGAACACTGATATGAGGTGGTGTTACCTTATTTGTTTCCCTCAGTATATATACGGGACCATTGTTTCAACTAACAAAACCTCTTATTTATGATATACTTTTTATTAAGATACAAAAGATAAGATGCTTTATATGACCAAAATGTTATGCGAGCTTTGAGCACAGCGTTTCACTTACACTTCTGGGTAGGGGGGGTTGACGAGTGGTTAAGGCATTGTTTGTCCGACTGAAGGCCTGGGTTCTTTCCCTCATGTGTACTATGTGTGAGGAGTATTTCTGGTGTGTCTTCTTCAGTTGTATAATACTGCTTCATGAAACCCAACTCAGTAGCTCCCTTGGTTCCATACTCTTGGGAGGTGGTAGGGTAGCATAGTGGTTAGAGCATTAGTTCATCATACCGAAGTCCTGGGTTCGATTCCCCACATGGGTACAATGTGTGAAGCGGTTAATGTATTTGTTTCTCCTGCCGAAGATCCAGTTTCGATCCCTACATGGGTACAATGTGTGAAGTGGTTGAAGTATTTCTTTGTCACGCCGAAGACCCAGTTTCGGTCCCTACATGGGTACAATGTGTGAAGCGGTTAATGTATTTGTTTCTCCCGCCGAAGACCCAGTTTCGGTCCCCACATGGGTACAATGTGTGAAGCCCATTCCTGGTGTCCACCGCTGTTATATTGCTGGAATATTGCTAAAAGCGGCATAGAACTACACTCACTCACTCCATATTCTTGTGTCAATGTTCCTTGTTGCTTTCCACAACCTAAATAGTTCTTAACAATGGAAGGGAACTCCAACATTTTTTATCAAAGTGACAATAAACCGCTGAATTGTAGTGTTCAAAATTATATATTATGTGTGAGCTGATAAATCCTGTGGACTGCTGAAGTAATCTTTCATTGCATATCAGTGGTATGACAGTCACATGATCACCAGCCATTGGACGACAGTATATTAAACTGTTACCATGGTTATGGCAAAACTGTTAAAATACCTGACATCCTTTTATTCAGGGGGCGGTAGGGTAGCCCACTGGTTAAAGCGTTTGCTCGTCATGCTGAAGACCCAGGTTCGATTCCCCACATGGGTACAATGTGTGAAGCCCATTTCTGGTGTGCCCCGCTGTGATATTGCTGGAATATTGCCAAAAGCGGTGTAAAACCATACTCACTCCTTTGATTTAGAAAATATGTAAAGAAAATGTAAATTTTGATACTGCTCTGTATATGTAAGTAATATATTAAGAAACGTGTGCTTTAAAAGATAATCCTTTATTTTAGAAGGATGTTTCCTTGGTAACCGAGAGTATGGAGCACGAGGGCATGGATCAGTAATTGTTCTTGTATTATTGTACAAACTACAAAGATCTTTTGACGAAGCCATTCCCCTTCCTGAGTTACTTGTGTGTGTTGGGTTAAACATTGTGGTGAACGGATTTGTTTGTCAAGCTGAAAGGTCATTCTGTCGAGTCCCTAACCAGTTGTGGTGAAACATTGCTAACAGCAGAAATAACCCTACTTGCTCACCAATTCTGACTGGATATTATAAACTTATTAACTATATTCATTAACTCGCTGATTAACTTTTTAAGAGTAGAGTGTAATGTCGTCCAATATTATAAACTTAATTATTATATTCATTTACTCACTGATTAACTTTTTAAGAGTAGAGTGTAATGTCGTCCAATATTATAAACTTATTAACTATATTCATTAACTCGCTGATTAATTTTTTAAGAGTAGAGAATCCGAAATGTCGTCACACCTCTGTATAATAAGGTTACTGGCTTGGTGCTTATGGGATATTCTAAGATTCTGAGCAGTTTTTCTGTTTCAGAAGAAAATGTCTCCAAGAAGGAGTGCTCACATACAATATTTTACGGTAGTTGTCATCTAAGTGATGATATTCCTTTTACACTTTTCTGTTTATATAAAATCATCAAATTTGAACAAAATGTTTAGTAAGTTAACTTTCAGAAGCTTATAGAATTTTCAATGATTGCTAGATGATCTGTTTTTTTTCCTTACATAGCTGTTTATACATTGACGTCAAAATTGGGCTGTTTTTGTCTATTTGCTGAATATACTTAACATGAATAGGACCATGATTACAACTTATTGATGAATGATATTTTCTATATGCTTGAATTATTTAATAAATTACTTACTTGCTTATGAATAGAACATGCTTTGCCTTGAAGAAAATGTGACCAAGATTAGTCAATAACTGATCTCTGTATAATCATTTTTGTAACAGAAACGTATTTGATGTTTTACAAGCCACTGAAATATTGATGTTTTCAGAGATGGGCATTTTTTATGGATAATTGAGATGTTTTTGTAAACGTTGTGCAAGGAGCTTATTGGCGAAGGTCATTTTTGCTAGCGTCATCCAACTGCATCAATGTTTTATTGTTTTGAATATGGACATGACTTCTTGACCATTGTGTACAACTACATTCAATAGCCAATTCCTTCAGTGACTAAAACTGTTTCCCTTAAATAAAAATAATTTCTGAACAAAAATGGCCACTACCTGGTATTGTCACTTTTAGGGTTTGATGTCGTTAGAAATGAAATGCAACGAATGAATGATATGGTGATCTGCTTCATATCCAATGACTATGCTATGTATACTTTGAAGATTTTTGTATTGACATAAGACTCGTGGTGTAATGTTATCAGTATGGTACAGGGTTTCATTAGATGCTTATGTTTGTGTTGCAAATGTTAACATTCACTTGCCTTGCTACTATCACGACCAACCAGATGCTACATGACTACGTACACATGCACTAACTAACTTTAAGCATAGCCATTAATCATAAATTAGGCAAGACCCAATTTTCTTTTGGATATTTGAGAATATAGGATTCTGAAGAGCAAGGATGACCAAAATGTTTGGTTGGAAATCATCATATTAAAAATATTTAAAAAACATTACATTTTAAGACAGTTTTGAAATTGTTTTTGCAAAAGTTCCTTCAAAATATGCCATTGTGAAATTTCATGACAAACATAGAACTATCGCCCTTGCTCATCACCAACTTCTAAATGCCACTCAAAGAAATTTCATGACACCATGAACAAGGAGAAATTTGAAATACGTTTGACTCTGATAACAGGTAACTGTTATTTCATGAAGTTTTTCTTTTTTCACTATTCAAACTTGACTTATGTTCATCTGTTTCAAAAGAACAAAGTATGTCCTTAAAAGTGTCTCATCTTTCTCTCTCCCCAGATTTTCATTCAAATTTGAGACGTTACTTTCTTGCACGTCCATATATGGATTTCTTCGAGTTAACCTCTGTTAGTGCTGTATCACTCACGTTTTCATTTGTTTCCGATCGGATTTATCGGAATGATGCCATGTTTTCTATTCAGAGTTTGTGTGAGAAAGAGTCTTATTTTGTAGACTGTTGTCATAACACATGCTTTAGATATTTTTCTACCTGTACTTGGTAGGATATTTTTCTGTTGTCTAGTGGAAAATAAATCCAGATTCTTATATATGGTTTTGTGGTTATTTTTTATGAAGACCCTGTTTAACAATGAATTGTTAACGATTGAAGTGAAAACAATTTTTTTTTCAATTCCTTTGATTTTATAACACTTCTAGTAATTAGACATTTTGCATTGAGGTTTTAAATTCCAACTTTTCAGATTTAAAATAACCATTAGGCTTTGTAAAAGAAATTCTACAATAAAACAAACCTGTGTGTTCCATCAACAAGATTACATGCAGATAATTAGACTATCTATGCTTCGGTGCATTGGTCAGGTGATAATCACGTGAAAGTATTAGTCTCATTGGTCAAACTAAGTTTGCTTTCACGTCAACCACCAACTGTCTGGCAATTGTTTTTGAAACTTGTTTTCAGGATATTTTTGTAAAGGTAAAGTTAATGGGGAAAATATTCTCTTTCAATGATACGCGTCTGTGGAGGGAGAACATGTTTAAGGAGTTACTTCCCTTTGCCAGGCGACTAATGGGACCCCTTGTAAATTTCGAGGACTTGGTTGATACACATCATATCCCAACTGCGTAGATCAATGGTCATGTTGATCACTGGATTGTCAGGTCCAGACTTGATTATTTACAGACCGTCACGGTATAGCTGGAATATTGCTGTGTGTGGTGTTCACCAAACATTGATTTCTGGCTTGTCTGTTCCAATTCACCAAATTGGATCAAATTGCTGTTTTTTTATGTTGAGCGTGTTGAAAGTGACCTGCAAGTCTCAAACAGGCATTCTATATAATGGTGATGTGGTTTGTTTGTTGTTTAACGTCACACTCAATATTCTAGCTATATGGCGGCGGTCTGTAAATAATCAAGTCTGGACCAGACAATCCAGTGATCAAAATCATAAGCATCGATCTAAGTAATTGGGATGTGATGACACGTCAGTGAGTCTGACCCCTCCCCCGATCATGTTAGACGCCTCTTTCGACAAGCATGGGTTGCTGAAGACCAGTTCTAACCTGGATATTCACAGGTCTCATGGGCGATGATGCGTGAAACCACCAGGGGACGCATACATATAATCAACCAATCCACAGAGCCCGATGACCATGTTGCCACCTCTTACAGGAGATAAGGTTGCTATTTTTGCTCAGAATGCAAATGACATACTTGCATGTATGTGACTATTGACACATACAGTATGGGCAATCTACTGTGTACAAGGCCACCACCTATCGGTGTTGTCTCTTGTAAGCACAGACTGCCTTAGACATATCTGAACAGCGACTGTCCACAAGGATTCAGTAGTCCATACAATGAGTAGCCCATTTGTTCATCCTCAGCCATTGTGACTAACTGACTGACTGAGTTTGGTTTTACGCCGCTTTTAGCAATATTCCAGCTACATCATGGGGGACACCAGAAATGGGCTTCACACATTGTTCCCATGTGGGGATTGAACCATTTAACCACTAGGCTACCCCACCGCCCTCAGCCATTGTGAGGAAGTTTTAGCGGATAATAATAATAATAATATATAGAGATTTATATAACGCCAATATCCAGATGATTCCTGCTCAAAGGCTCTTTCGTATGAGTCTGACAAGGAAAGAGTCTCTCGGAACTGTAACATGATTTGAAAAAATAAGTGATGCAACAAAAAAAATGTGAACACAGGCTATTACCGTTCCATCAAACTTCCAATCTTGCTTCTCTTGCTTCAATAGTACCTTTCCTTAGTAAACTGGTAGCACTGACATTCAACATTGGCCATCTGTTGGACATTACATAATTCTAAATTTAATAGGATGAGTGAACACTTTCCCTCACTAACTGAAAGATGACAGTATTATCACAATGCTGTTGAACACTGTCTGAACCAATGGTTATATAAATCAAAGGGAGTGTTTCATTGTTGAGATAGAAGTATGGTGTTTCAACAGATTATTTAATTCTAAACAGAAATTTCATTTTGTAAGTTTGATCAAGACAGTGAAATCTAAACCAGAAAGCAATAATAGTCTTCTTACATACCATGGATTGGGAAGAACATACTTAACCTGAACAAGATGTTTTGGGTTCCCATTAGGACTGCCTTTTGAACGATACATATTGCAATGTTTATTCTCAGAACCAGTTGACTGGGTAATAAATATATATTTAGCTTTGTGATTATGTCTACGGTTTAAGTTAATTTCAACACAGACTTTCATTCACAAGGAAATTGTCCATTGTAATTAATTGACAAACAGTATACTTCACATAAAAAACATTTATGAAAAAGAATATACAACCCATCAAAATCAAATCTAAATTTGAGATTTCTGTTATCCCAACCATATTTATTTTAAGGCTTTATAAAATAGGCTCTGCATGTACAATCGATGTAACTCACTGTTGAACACTTAGGCTCCCAATATAATCGCTATACGTATCGGAATGCAGGTACCTGAATCACAATATATTGCAATACAATTTTCTTGCCAAAACACAGCCCTAGTTTCTATCATTTTCAAACGACCACCTTCATTCATCAAAATAGGAAGCTTCAAGCCTGTCTACACACCATTCATGTTTGACTTTTCCAAGGACAAGAGCACAAGAAGCAGGTTACGTCCCCAGAGTTTATTATCACATGATACAGACTTAACGGTAGGACTTCTGGTATCTGGCACGGGCACCAGGTCCACCAAACTTTTTGGGCTCGCAGCGTCTGGGGTCAGCAACAAGCAGTGTTCTGTCGTACTGGATCAGGATGTCCTTGATTTCCTTCTTTGAAGCTTCATCTACATCTGAAAGCCAAATGTTATCCCACTTACTGGATGTCTTGAACGGAAGAGAATTTCAAATATGCTGATGGAAATGAATATGGGAACCCATGAAAGTACAACTACTACAAGTATTCCCTTATTCTTTTCTTGGTTTCTTCCCATTATTTGTACTGCACTATGTGTGGAGTGAGTGAGTGAGCGAGCATGTTTAGTTTTATGCTGCACTCGGCAATATTCCAGCTATATGGCAGCAGTCTGTAAATAATTGAGTCTGGAACAGACAATCCAGTTATCAACAGCATGGGCATCGATCTACGCGACCGGGATACGATGACATGTGTCAACCAAGTCAGCGAGCCTGACCACCCGATCCTGTTAGTTGCCTCTTACGAGAAGCATGGGTTACTTGAGATCAATTCTAACCCGGACCTTCACAGGTCCACTATGTGTGGAAATCTAGAAAAAAATTCATACTTTTTGAGTACAGAATAAGGTAAGACTTCTGCCCGTATCCCCCCTAAATTTTAATGAGGAACAATTTCTTTCAGTGGCACTTTCATAAGTTGGATATGTCTTTCAGTATGTTCAGATACAATTAAAGAAACATGTTAAAACTCATTCTTATCAGATGAGGAATATTTATTCAGGTGATATGGTTTGATTTGAATGAAATATATGGGGGATTCAACTTCTTTCATGAGCGGAAATGTTGAAGTTAACAACTATTACTTCACAGGGGTGGAAATGACAGGTTGGTGGCACATGTACCTATGGTTGTTTCCATTCAACTTCTTTCATGAATGATGAATAACATTAACAACTATTACTTCACCAAATAATAGAAACTTTGTGCAGCTACTTACACTTCTGGTAGTATGCAACAAGAGACTTGGAGATGGCTTGTCTGATGGCTAGTAAATAAAAACAAAATCTCAGCATATATTAAAACTTGACATCTTAGATTTCAGAGAAACAGTTAACTAGAACTCTTTACAACTACAGGTTCTGATAATGGCATGATAAACTATGACCAACATAATTATCGTGGTCAACAGGAATTTATTCTCTTCTTTACAGATATGAAAATGTTTTTAACCAATATCAGTAATACTACAGCAATAGCATGGTAGGAGATACCAGAAATGTGTTACAGTGTTTTTCCCCCCGAGGACCAATTTCTTGGGCCAGCTATAGTCCATAACTAATACTGTACTAGGATGTCATGTCTTCTAAGTATCAACAGGATGCACTTATAAAGTGATCTTGGTGCTATGACACTCCAACACCAAAAGTCATCTACCAGTTGGGCATAATGCTCAATTTTGGAGTACTGACTGAAAACCATTAATTATACTGCTCACATAGATGATAGTGTACACAGATATGCCTACCATAGATCTGTGCCACATGACCTCCACCTCGGACACGGACACGGATATCAACACCGGCAAATCTTTCTTTGCCGAGGAGCAGCACAGGCTCTTGGAGCTGAAAGTAAAACATTTTAAATGAAACTGTTGGTTTTTGTCATAGTCAATGATCTAGAATACGGAAAAGTGGACCATAAATAGGTTTTGACCAGCAAACAAGTACTGGTGACACGAGTAGCAGGACTAGTGAGTGAGTGAGTTTAGTTTTACGCCACACTCAGCAATATTCCAGCTATATGGCGGCGGTCTGTAAATAATTGAGTCTGGACCAGACAATCCAGTGATCAACATGACCATCGATCTGCGCAATTGGGAACCGATGACAAGTGTCAACCAAGTCAGCGAGTCTGACCACTTGATCCCGTTAGTCGCCTCTTACGACAAGCATAGTCACCTTTTGTGGCAAGCATGGGTTGCTGAAGACCTATTCTACCCCGGATCTTCACGGGTCAGTAGCAGTACTACTTATGTAGGACAAGTTTTCAATCAGGATAGACTGGGCCAATATGATCTCTACAGGGTTGGTTGGTTGTGTAACGCCGCACTCGGCAATATTCTAGCCTCATGGTGTCGGTCTGTAAATAATCGAGGCTGGACCACACAATCCAGTGATCAACAAGCAGCAAGCCTGACCCCCCGATCCCATTAGACACCTCTTACGACAAGCATTGTTTACTGAAGACCTATTCTACTCCGGACCTTCCCGGGTGATCTCTACATGACTGAATTCTGATGACATACACAATAAGTCAGTAGAGCCATGACACTCCCTGAAACAACCAAATTACCAGCCCATGCAGGACAGCATGAAGTATTTATTCTACATGTGAGTGAGTATGTTTAGTTTAATGCCACTTTTAGCAATATTCCAGCAATATCATGGCGAGGGACACCAGAAATGGGCTTCACACATTGTACCCATGTGGGGAATCAAACCTGGGTCTTCAGCATGACGAGCAAACGCTTTAACCACTCACGGCTACCCCCACCACCCCTCTATACAAGAAGTTATGGCAGTGGTAGGCCTTATATATACTTGCAACATTTAACAAGGCAAATCAAATCCTGAGTTTACTGACTTATCTATAAGAATTATGAACTCACCTTAGCCCTCAAGATCTGTGGCTCAAGTTGTTCAAGGGGACGACCGTTCACCTTGATCAGGCCATTTCCACGCTTGCAGTGAGCAACAGCTGTGGAAGTTTTCTACAACAGAAGTAAAACAAAATGATTAAGGAATCAACTTCCCGTTATACTGTAATTGCTGCATTTGAAATAAATCCTTTATCTTAGTCAAACAAGACTGACAACATGGTACAGAAAATACATATGGTATGTGAAGGATTAACAGTTATCAAACATGAGTGTGTGAACTATTGACAAGATGATATTGTAACAAAATTGGTATAGAGAATAGCAAGGATGGGAAGAGAGAACTAGATATTGTGTCTTGATGCATTAGGGATTATATTCAGACTATAGTGAACTGTTTGCTTCATCATCAGTGTTTGTCCTTAACCCTGAAAGCTGCAGGCCCTAGAACCATAAAAAATAGCTGTTGGTCATAAGGACCTGAGGAAAACAAAAGCTGTGGGTCAGAGCGGTTTTAAGCTGGCTTGTGGCCTAAGGACTGATGTTAATTGCGAACGCTGTTCACCAACCAAATCACGACCAGAGTACAGTTTACCAGGTGCTGCTTATAACAGAGCCATTTGGCTCAGACTGCCAAATCTGGTTCTCGCTTTGCATATCCAGAGTACCTTGCTTGTACTTCCACCCTCAGGTTTAGTTAATGTAGGTCAAAGTAGGCTACATCCATCTATAATTCCCCTTCCCATAATTCAGGTGAGTTGTGGGTATTGGTTGTGTTTCAGGTACACAAACATCAAAGGCAATTTGAAGACACTGCATACCTTTTACATCAAGTTTTGCGTTTCCCTGAAAATGGTTATAGTGAGTGAGTGAGTGAGTTTAGTTTTACGCCACACTCAGCAATATTCCAGCTATATGGCGGTCTGTCTGTAAATAATCGAGTCTGGACCAGACAATCCAGTGATCAACAGCATGAGCATCGATCTGTGCAATTGGGAACCAATGACATGTGTCAACCAAGTCTGAGCGAGAAGCCTGACCACTTTTTTGTGCCAAGCATGGTTTGCTGAAGACCTATTCTACCCCGGATCTTCACGGGTCAGTAGCAGTACTACTTATGTAGGACAAGTTTTCAATCAGGATAGACTGGGCCAATATGATCTCTCCAGGGTTGGTTGGTTGTGTAATGCCGCACTCGGCAATATTCTAGCCTCATGGCGTCGGTCTGTAAAAAATGAGGCTGGACCACACAATCCAGTGATCAACAAGCAGCAAGCCTGACCCCGATCCCATTAGACACCTCTTCGACAAGCATTGTTTACTGAAGACCTATTCTAATCCGGACCTTCCCGGGTGATCTCTACATGACTGAATTCTGATGACATACACAATAAGTCAGTAGAGCCATGACACTCCCTGAAACAACCAAATTACCAGCCCATGCAGGACAGCATGAAGTATTTATTCTACATGTGAGTGAGTATGTTTAGTTTAATGCCACTTTTAGCAATATTCCAGCAATATCATGGCGAGGGACACCAGAAATGGGCTTCACACATTGTACCCATGTGGGGAATCAAACCTGGGTCTTCAGCATGACGAGCAAACGCTTTAACCACTACGCTACCCCACCACCCCTCTATACAAGAAGTTATGGCAGTGGTAGGCCTTATATATACTTGCAACATTTAACAAGGCAAATCAAATCCTGAGTTTACTGACTTATCTATAAGAATTATGAACTCACCTTAGCCCTCAAGATCTGTGGCTCAAGTTGTTCCAAGGGGACGACCGTTCACCTTGATCAGGCCATTTCCACGCTTGCAGTGAGCAACAGCTGTGGAAGTTTTCTACAACAGAAGTAAAACAAAATGATTAAGGAATCAACTTCCCCGTTATACTGTAATTGCTGCATTTCGAAATAAATCCTTTTATCTTAGTCAAACAAGACTGACAACATGGTACAGAAAATACATATGGTATGTGAAGGATTAACAGTTATCAAACATGAGTGTGTGAACTATTGACAAGATGATATTGTAACAAAATTGGTATAGAGAATAGCAAGGATGGGAAGAGAGAACTAGATATTGTGTCTTGATGCATTAGGGATTATATTCAGACTATAGTGAACTGTTTGCTTCATCATCAGTGTTTGTCCTTAACCCTGAAAAGCTGCAGGCCCTAGAACCATAAAAAAAAGCTGTTGGTCATAAGGACCTGAGGAAAACAAAAGCTGTGGGTCAGAGCGGTTTTAAGCTGGCTTGTGGCCTAAGGACTGATGTTAATTGCGAACGCTGTTCACCAACCAAATCACGACCAGAGTACAGTTTACCAGGTGCTGCTTATAACAGAGCCATTTGGCTCAGACTGCCAAATCTGGTTCTCGCTTTGCATATCCAGAGTACCTTGCTTGTACTTCCACCCTCAGGTTTAGTTAATGTAGGTCAAAGTAGGCTACATCCATCTATAATTCCCCTTCCCATAATTCAGGTGAGTTGTGGGTATTGGTTGTGTTTCAGGTACACAAACATCAAAGGCAATTTGAAGACACTGCATACCTTTTACATCAAGTTTTGCGTTTCCCTGAAAATGGTTATAGTGAGTGAGTGAGTGAGTTTAGTTTTACGCCACACTCAGCAATATTCCAGCTATATGGCAGCGGTCTGTAAATAATCGAGTCTGGACCAGACAATCCAGTGATCAACAGCATGAGCATCGATCTGTGCAATTGGGAACCAATGACATGTGTCAACCAAGTCAGCGAGCCTGACCACTCGAAACTGGGTGCTGAGAACTTATTATTTGTGACAGCACTCATGTTGTAGGGTGGTCAACTAATTTGATCAACTCGTTACTAAAGCTTCTCTTTAAATTGGTAAAATGAGCTCCATCATGCGATGGTAACAGATTTAAAAAAGGTATTCCTGGTAAAGAGCACTACTTCATAAATCACGGCTTTGGTAAGAGTTCTTCCTGTTCCCCCATCCCAAATAATATTTATAAATATACTAAAATTATTAACAAAACTTAACACAACAATTACTAGAGAACTCACAAAATGACTAAAAGTAAGTTAGGGTTAGGTTTAGAGTTAGGTTTAGGGTTGGGGGAACAGAAGGAACTCTCTCCGTGGCTTTCTACAGCCCAAAATAAGCGTGTAATGGAATGTTGACATTTGATTTTTCCCCAAACAGGTGTACATTGCCAATGAATATTGAGCTCTTTGTAGCCAATGATCTACACTAGCTTTAGCTACAAAGGATCCCATAAAAATTCAGTTGTCTTTCATACAAACTTTAATTGTTCATAGCTTAAAAAGGTAATACTAACATCACTTCATGATCAACTGTACATACACCTCAGTGTTGACAATTGTCACATATGCTGTCATGCAACGTGACTGCATGTACATCATAAGCGTAGGGAACTCCAAACATTGACGAGCGAGTCGATTGAAGTAGACTAAAACATAAGCCTCTTATTCTTAACCACGCACCTTGCGTCCAAATACTTGGACAGACTGCAGGGGTCCTTTCGACTGTGTAGTCCTGTGAAATAGAAGATTGTGGTCAGTAACGCTTTATTGTTCACATCACAAATGAAGTAAATGTGTAATTAGATAGGATCTAACTAAGATATGTCAAAGAAAATGAGAGTCCCTCACTTCTCGTCACGTTCCCCAGCCATGTTGGAAAAGAAAGGAAGTCAGTAGGGTAAACTATTTCCGCTACAGCGGGGCCCTACTCTCTACCTAATGTGAGTTAATATTATAATTAGTTCATGTTGTTTCAAAGAGCATGTGCAACAGACCCGTTCAATTTATTCAAAGTAAACATGTAAATATCACTATGACCTTATGCTGATAAATTAACAAAAGTAGATTTTAGATCCTGATTCCTATCAGAGCTCCTGGCAGGAGAGTGGAGAGGCGCGTAAGTGAATCCTGCGCATCGCGAGATTTCGTGACTTCCGGTGACAAACAAAGTTTTCAGGAATGTCTTTACCAGTAGAGTCAGAGACGTAACGTGTACGCGAGACGGCCTATCGTCTCGTGTACGCGAGACAGGTGCGCTCCGCGGTACTAACTGAAGCGCTTGACCCTAATTAATTCAATCACCGTGGAACCAACTCGTTTGGGTGCAAACACGGCGCGGGTTGATTAAAGCGTCCCGTAAAATCACCAAGCGTGGTGGTTACTTGACAGTCGTGAATAAACAGGTTTCTCGGGAAGAAACACCACGCCCAGGGTCGGTTGTTTACATATGCAAATTACGTAAAAATAATTAATCGCATTTGAAAAAGTGATTTATTTTAGTGGATGTCATGGCTAATTTTAGAAATGTTAAAGTAGTCATCTTTGCAGTGAGTTCTGGAACATTTTGAAACTAATATGACCTCTACCGCCATTGCATCTTGCATGAATCAAAACTTACTTCGTCAAGAGTAATCCTGCAAACAACTATAAAGTCATTTGCATATTTTCCGGAAGTGACGTATTGTGTACCTTCACCTGCAAATACAGCACACGGCTCGCTTTTTAAAAAGCGGAAAAAATTATTGTTATCGTGTATCCAAATGAATAGAAGTCTCAGATGTTTTGGTTAAAATGATATTACTCATCTCAATTCCTAAATAGTTTTTAATATTTAAACTAGTTTAGTAGATTGTCCTAAGTAAACGTTTTACAATGGTTTGTATATTGTGATCGTGTTGAACGAGTTGCGACAGAATTGAAGATAAAACATCAGTCAACCGAAAATATATATAAAATGCCAAATGTCAATAAGCGTTCATAATCCCGATACCGATAACATTACCTATCGCGTTAATGGAGGGGTCCCATGATGCATGTCTCAGCTACCCGAACTGTACATATTGTCTTGATTTCGGCATTACACAGCTACGAAATCTTACCTGTTCACCTCGCTAATTTTCACGTATTTGTAATCGTAAAAGTAACCTATCAATTCAATACTAACGTAAAAGTTGTCTTTGCTTGTTACAGCGTGTAAAGAGACTCAATGGTGTATTCGGAAACTGAATCCGAAATGAAGTCACTGTCAGTCTTAGTTGACATCTCGTGCTAATCAAAGTTAGTGTTAAATCAAAATGCAGCGCCGTTTCTTTGACTTTTGACGACAGCTCATGCTGTTGACGTGTCGATATTGGATCTCTGAGAATACATGTCAGCTTGTGCTCGCATTAGCCGTGTATGCTGTTTTACAGAATACCCTGCAAGCGTGCGCGACACTGTTTCAGCCAATCAAATGGAGCCTGAAGCCCTCATGTGTGAGGTGTTATCGGAAGCGCCCAGTTTCATCGGCATGCACATGGATTTTGTAAACACATCCCAAAACGTTTTTTATGTGTGAATTAAGGCTATGATACATATCTTTGTGAATATCTTCACTGGTATCAGCGTGCATTATTTCATTTTCAAGACGATTATAGAAACCAGACTTGTAAACCTGGCCCGTGTCATTGGAACCGATATCGATCGTATTGACGTTGCTAAAACCCCTTAAAAGCAAAGTTTCAAAAATGGATATTTTTTTAGAACCGTGAATATACGATGTGATATGGGATGCGTCTATAACACTTTTCTGTTGTTAATACATCAGTTTGTAAAATGACACAGAGAAGTTATGAAGAAAACAAACTAATTAGACGCTAATTGTTTTATGGGTTCTGGAGAGCCGCTCAAACGGCTCACTGATCACGGGCTGGCTTATTGCAAATTGAGGATGTTTTTTCCCTCTGCAAACACGGTCCAGGGCCTGATAACCACCCTATGCCCGCGAAAAATGATTAGTTGACAATGATGATGCACATAAGTAAGTTGTACCTAATGTATGCATTCAGAAATCGGCACTTTGTGTCGCATTATGTCAGTAAGCTCACGTTAAATCTACAAATTTTAGGAGAAGCATTTACATAGGCTGATGCAGCCTGTTTGCTGATCCTTTTTCCTTTTGTAATTTATTAATGTTTAATGTATATTACATGTCTTTGTGGAAATATAATACTGTTTAAATCAAATCTACAAATTATCATCATCATCATCTTTGACAGAAATGTGTATCATGACGTCGGCGATTTGATTAAAGAACCACTTTACTTGTGTTCAGATCGCTTCCGCGGAAGTTAAAGAATCAAAACTACTTACTAGTTGTAGTAACATATGTATATGATTGATGACCATAAAGATTCTCCATGACACAACTTGTAAGTGAGGTTGCGGTCGAAGTAACAATAATATTGTAAGTAGTATTATATTGACACCCACCTCGCTGCCAGGAGAGAGATTGTTATGTTATACGCTATGTCATGCAAAATCCTATTGGCCATCAGTAAAATAAATATTTTACTACCAGTAGAAAGTAGTTTTGATTTTGTAACTCGGTGAAAACAAATCTAAATAGCATTTACCCTCAGACTGGCGGATGTTCCCGATAGGGCGCCGCCATTTTTGAAAATCATGTAAAGTCTGTTAGAATTAATGAGATTATGGTTTGTTTTCATCAAGTTAGAAAATCAAAACTACTTTCTACTCGTAGTTAAATATGTATTGGAATCATAACCAAACGGATTTTGCATGACTGCGACTTATAACATAACGATTTCTTCCACGGAAGCGAGGTGGGGGTCGAAGTTACACTACTGCGCAATAAATTTCTTGCTACATTCACATGGTTAATGTTCACTCACCAGTATGTAGATACTAGTCAATGTGCGTCTTTATATTTGGTCTTATAATCCTAGTTAGTTTGTGATCATACTTGTATGCATTTTGAAACTAAATAAAAGCTGACGATCTGCTGATACTTATAGTGAATTTATAACAGAACTGTAATAGCTAGACATTTTATAGTTTGCCAATGTGAATCATAATCCGCACACACACCCTAGTGTATGTTGTCTGTCTCATTACACTTCACGGCGAAAACAATGATTCTGTTGAATGCTACGACAAATGAATAAAAACAAAATGCAAATATTAAAATTGAAACAGATTCAAGTTATAGGAACAATATCAGGCCATTACCTTGTTCGAGAAATGTATCCATCAATATCCACAAAACTGTTCCAAATGATGTGTCTTTTAACAGTTTAATATACGAAAAAGTGATCAATCTTTTCAGGTATTGGTGTATAGTCTCATTGGTCATCCAAGATAGCACACCTGGCAACTAATTGCATAATGTCCGCCTTTCTTTAAAAACAGTAATTTAGTTAGCCAATAATGGGCAATCAATCAATGTATTGCCGGTTAATCCTTTGAACGGAGCACGTTTTTTTTACGCAGACACCGACACGACCGAGTGTATTCAGTATAGATTAGTAAATCTACATACATAAACACTACCTTTTGACAATTCCGCTGTGTAAGATAAAAGTAATTAATCAATCAGCGTGTTATCGGTTAATCCTTTGATCGATGTTTATAATGTTGAATATTTACTCCAGACACAAGAAATGCCTTTTACATGACATGATTAAATATCGAGGTAAAAAAACACAGAAATGGGAACAATTTAGATCAGTCATTATACAAATAGGGCCTAACGACACCAATCGATTTTGACAGAATCGTCTATGAAAACAAGTTGTAACTCGGAAACTAGGCAAAGCAGGAGACAAAATTAAATGACAATAGATCGTGAGAACATATAGCTTCCATTTTCCACAACAGTTGTCACGATTTCAGGTTTATACAAGCCTGTAAACAAGATAATTTACCCCCTAAAATGTAGATGAATTCTGCATCGGCCCTCAAAGCTATTCCTCATTTGACGTCACAGAGACGCGCCGCTCTGATTGGTTGAAATTTCGTTCGCGGGTGAGAATTGTGCACTGTTGTCAAAAAGGTCGATTTAAGTCAATTAAAGGTCGAAATGAGTAGTTTTAATGACGGGGTTTCATTTATAACGATGCCAGTTAGTGATTTATGTATTTGTACCCCCTAGGGTTTATGTGACCTTTAACAAGCATCATCCTGGAAGATACTATCCCATTCCCCCCAGCCCCTACAGTATGCACAGTATATTAAAGGTAAGAATATGTTGTTTCACTTACCCTGTACCTATACAGGTAACTTCGGCCAGACGCGGAAATATATACACATGCATAAATACGTTTTCTACAACAAAACTAACGACACACATTATCAGATGAACTTCAGGTAAAATTCGATACTTCTTTAATTTACATAAATTCTATGTATTTGCGTGAAACAGAAAAGGTTTTGATTTAAACAATATTTATTCATTATTAAATGAACGGATTGGTAAACAGGCTATAAGCCTATAGAAATACCTCTCCGAATGCAATGCGATGGGAAACATTTTATATACATTCATCATTACAGACAAGAGAACACACCATTTGAGGAGTAAAAGACTTAATGAAAAAGACAGTAGTATAATTAATCAATTAGGTAAAAAATCGTTTTGTTAAAGGTCACATGCAACGTAAAACACAACTTTGCAGATTCTGATACCTTTCGGTATGGACTTACCGAAACAAATCGTCAAAAATGCAAATTCAACTTATAAAGTTGAAAAATAACGCGATGAAAAATACGCGCGAAATCGGAGTTCAAACGTTTCACTAATTTTCCCCCCGACTTTTCTGGGGAAAACGGGTTTCAACGGCTGGGCTGCACTCATAGCACGTGCGCAGTGAAATAGGTTCGCGCAGCTTGGAAGCGGGTCGTCCGGTGAAAACTCAGTGAAGGCTTTGGTGTGAGCTATTTTTCTAATGTTTTGTTGATATCTCACAGGCGCAAGCTTTTTATATGTGATGACAGTAAATTAACTGTTTATATAATTTCACCACACGTTCTTCTTACCGAGTCACTTTCTCAGTTCGATACTTAAAAGCAATGTCATTATTTAGCGTTGACACAATTTCTAACTGTGATATAGATATGTCGTTGTCACAGACAAAACTCAATGTCTTGTTTTATTGACACCCGTGTGTCTGCCTGCCTGTCTGCTAATGACAATATTTAATACAGCTGCTATCACTGACCACATGCAATTTGAACTTAACACCAATCAGGCTTTACACCATAAACAAAATGCATTGATTTATGGCCCGAGTTCGGTCTCTGTCACATTATGTAATTTCACAGACAGGCAGGTGTGATAGTTGAACACTTGACATGTTATGATGTCTGTTGATTGCAAAATGTTATACACAAAAAATGAGCATGTATTTACAAAACCCAACATCTCTACATATACACACACAATAAGCCGTGAGGGCATACGCACGCAAATGAACCAGCCGTTACACTTGAAGTGCACACCCACCCGCTCTGACTGGGTTCGGTATCCCGGCTGCTTCGTTTCTTGGGAAGTAAACCGAAGTACACAATATTGCACTTTTGATTTGCAAATGTACGCTTATAATTTTGTTTATATGTTTTTTCATAACCAGCAATGTATATTATATGTCACGAATAAGTGATAATTGTGTTTTAATTATGTTTGATTTTTTGGTTGCATGTGACCTTTAAGCTAAAATATATAATAGCATAAACTTCGTGGAGTTATTAGGTATATAGTACTGTTGTGAAATAAGCAGTAAAAATCTCGTAAGATTGACTTATCTTCTTCGAGGGACTGTCAACTGCTGTGCGAGGACCATGGGACCGAAATGGTGAATACCTGAGACGTCCTCGGTGGTGATATCTCTCAGATAGTGGTTGGCAAACACCATATCGGATCTCCAGAAGCAGCCCTCCATGATGGTATTCAAAGAGCAATTGCCGTGTTGAAGCTAGCGCTCTAATTTCATGTGGATTAGATGCTCTTGGAGGGTCGAGTCCTGCAGCCTTGTAGGCGCGTAGTATGACAGTTCTGATCCATATCGAGATACTTGTACGTGAGACTTCAGTCTGTGTAGCTGTCGATAGAGGGATGAATAATCGTTTGAGTTTTTGTCGCCTCGGTTTGGATCGCTGTAGATATATTTTCAGTGCTCTGACTGGGCATAATGACAGATCCAGTTTATCATGAGGTCCGAAAATTGATGAGAGAGCTGGGACGTGGAATAATCTGTCTGGCTGACCTGGCAACTGGTTCTTGGCGATGAAATCCAAGGGTAGTCCCATATGCACGATGTTATGATTGTCATCAAAGCGTGTTCTCTCGTAATCTAGTGCGTGAATCTCTGACATCCTGGCTGCTGTTGCTAGGGATAACAGGAACAAAGTTTTCTGTGGTTCATATGCCTCACTTGTGAGGTGTTGGAGCACTATATTTAGATCCCATGCTGGAGCGCGAAATCTGTTTCTGATCTTCCAATCGGAATGCACGTAGTAAGGCCAGTAACTCTGGGGTCTTCGTCAACTTGACACCCGTTCTCATAGTTATGACGGAGCTTAAAGCTGCGAGATATGTTGATAATGTTGAGCCTTTTAGACGTTTAGTCTGTCGTAGGTAACATAAGTAGTCAGCCACTTGTGGATGTGTAGCATATCTAGCTGTAAATCCTTTCTTTGCAGCATAATTTTCAAAACTGTGCCACTTGTCATCGTACAAGTTGCGAGTGGAGTTGCGTAAGGCAAGCGTGACTGCTTTCGCCGCTCTGGCTGAATAACCTCTCTTGTTTAGACACGCCTTAATACAGTCCATACGTGAAGTTGGAATGCTTCTGGCTTTCCGTGCGCTTGTTTGGTGTGAGGATGTATTAGTAGATTCGAGCTTTGGAAGTTGTAGTATTGGTTGTCCGATTTCTTGACTAAGAGATGGAAACCACGCTCGCTGGCCAGTAATAGCCGACCCAAATCATTTGGAGGCTCCGAGTTTGCTTGATTTTCTGTAACACCTGTGTGATTAACGCTGGTGGCGGAACGCGTACGGGTTGAGTCCTTCCCACAATATGCTTAGTGCGTCCGTTGCCCATGCTAGTGGGTCTGGGACTGGTGATACGAATGTTGTCAGCTGATTGTTGAAGCGAGTGGCAAATAGGTCTATTAGTGGAGCTCCTATTTTCTTGATAATTTGTGCGAATATCTCTGTATGGAGCATCCATTCTGTCGGCGATGGTAGGTGTGGCCGAGAGAGTGCGTCTGCTATTACATTCTTTGCTCCTGGAATGTGACATGCTCTGATATGTATGTTGAGATTGTCAATTAGATCGAACAATTGAAAACAGAGTCAATAGGTTCGGGGACCTGGTTGAGCCTTGTTTGTTCACATAAAACGCCAGTTTTGAATTGTCTGTGTGAATCATCAATTGGGCATTCTTTAGTAAGTTGCTCCAATGATGTATGGCGTTTGCTACTGCTTGCATTTCTAGCAAGTTTATGTGTAGTTTGCTCTCTTGTTGGCCCCATAACCCTGATACCGTCCTGTTGGCGAGGTGTGCTCCCCAACCTTGGAGCGACGCGTCTACATAGAGATGGGTTTTCAATTCCGGCTCTATTAAAAAGATTCCATCGCAAACATTCGATCTCTTGGTCCACCATAGTAGGTGAGGTTTGACGTGATTCGGTAGACTGAATGGTTGAGGGTCGTCGAGATGACTGTCATGTCTTGAGCTGACGTGAGTAGACCCAACAGGCTCTGCCATTGTCGTAGTGGTAGCGGAGAGAGTAAGGCTTGAGGGATTGTCTGTTGGATCTTGATCCATGGGTCCTCCGGTACGACGATACGATTCTGCGCCGTGAGAAATCGAATGCCTAGAAATTGCAGATCTTGCGTAGGTTCTAGGTCCGACTTTAGTAGATTTACTAACCATCCTAGCTGTGTTAGTAGCTTGATGATGAAGTTTAACTGTAGTCTGAGACGCTGTGGATCTGGATCCACTTGTATGCCTTCGTTGAGGTAGAACGCACTGCATAGTCCTTGACGATGTAGGTAAGAGACGATAGGTTTCGTCACTCTTGTGAATAACCAAGGGGCCGATGAGATTCCGAAAGGTAGTACTTTCCATTGGTAATGCAGCCCGTCTAGTGTAAACCGAAGGTATTTCCTGGATTCGGGATGTATTGGGATGTGTAGATATGCGTCTTGCAGATCTATGCACAGGCCATGTAGTCTCTGGGACGAATTAAGTGCCGTAGTTGTGGTAGGTATCATGCAAACGCTGGCGGTTTGCGTAGATAGTCTCTGTTGAACGTGCTCATATTGTAGATGAGACGAAACTTTTCCTTGGAATTTTTCTTGGGCACTAGGAAAACTGGGGAGTAGAAGCCTGGTTCGATGTTTACTTGGTCCAGTACTCCTATGGCCTGCTTGGTTAGGAGCGTTGATACCGCTTCTCTTAACTTTGGTAGTTGTAGATCCTGGAAGTCGAACCTCGGAGGGATGACTGTCAGCGGGGGCGTGGCCTGTAGTTGTGTTCGATATCCGTGCTGTATGATGTTGGAGACATATGGATCCTCTAGGAATCCCCAGTTTTCCCGGTGCAGTTGAAGGCGTCCACCCACTTGTGATGGTTGTACTGGAACGGCTGGGGGTGGAAGACTCCAGTCGTTCTGAACCTGTCCTTCATCGTTTATAGTTGCGGGAGCCTCTGGATGACCTGCCTCTTCCAGATCCTCCCCTGTAATTGCTGTATGGCTGCTGAAAAGACTCTTTGCTCCTCTTACCCTGCCATCTTCCTGTCCCGTGCTTTCTGTAGACCGGAGAACTTCGATTTGCCTGAGTACCCTCTGCGAAGTTTGTCATATGGCGGCTTGCTAAGCGTATCCATAGACTTTATCATGAGTACCTCTCTTGAGTCTTTAGAGACTTCTTTAGAGACTTTGTCTATGTTTCCATCGAAGATTGACGGTGATGACCACGGGGCTGTGTGGAGAGATGCGGTGAAGTTATCACCCCAATTACAGGAGGCGAGGAGACCTTGACGACGAGCCATAGTTATAGCTGCGGATAGTGCTGTCAAGTGATCCGTTAGGAACTGCTGGTCCTTCTTCTGCAACAGGAGGGCCGAGTAAATCATCCTGTCGTCCTCAGATGTAGAGTCTCTGAACTTCGTGAGGAGAGTTTCGTTGACTGTTCTTGATCTGTTCAGACCAAAGAACATCCTCCTTGACATGGTTTCCATCTGGACTAGGTTGCGGTCATCTATTCTGTAAGTCTTGGACTTGGCATCACTGATCATCTTATAGTTATCATCGATATCTTGTGCCTTGTAAAAAGAGTCCATGTTGTGACCTGCAAACTTCTTAGTGTTGAAATGCGGCACATGTGGTGTCTGTGATTTCGTGGCTTTACTAAAGGCTGTATCCAGATTAGCTGGCACCGCTGCTATCGGGTCAATCGGAGGTACGGTGATTGTGTCAGCATCATCTTCCTTCATAAGATATGTGTGGGCTGAGTTCTCTTTCTTAGACGGAGAGGATATTCACCATCCAGTATCTTATTTCTGCGTCGGAAAATATGATACCATCTTCATCTTCTGACATCGGGTCACAGATAATGTGTTGATGCTCCTCCGATAGTGACTCAGGTGATCGTGGTGAACGGACTGACGAGTGGCGTCTATAAGGTGACCTTCGCGGAGACTTCCTTGGCGAACGCTGGTAGCTTCGCAAAGCTCTCGGTGAATCCCTAGATCTTCTAGATGAGGATGACTTGGAGCCGCTTAACCTTCGTGAAGGTTGATAGTCTGAGTCGGAGTCATGGGATGAGAGGATCTTGCTTCACGAACATCCTCTCTGGTCATCAAGGTCCGAGGTAGGTGAAGTAGTCGTCCTTCATGAAGCCTTCCGTGAATGCTGAGGATCAGAGTCCTTCGTGGAGGCGGGCTGGGTCGCCCTTCGTGGAGGCTTGTCAGCGGGCTGGGTAAGCCCTACGCGAGGGCGTGTAAGCTGGCTGGGTCGCCCTACGCCTGCGTGTAGCGTGCTGGGTAAGCCCCTCTGCCGAGGTGTGTGGAGGCGGGTTTTGCCTGCCGTGGAGGTGGCTCTAGAGGCCTCTGTGGACCGTGAGCGATCTTCCATCAACTTCATTATGCGGTTCATCAGGTCGCCTGGGACGGTCTGCGCTGAAAGTAGTTGCTGCCTTTTCTCACGATGGTTGCGACGGGACCCTCAGGAAGATTCTCTGACATCAGTGTAGGTGCCTCAGACTGCGTGCTGATCTGCGCTGATGTTATAGTTGCCGACACTGGCCGCTTCTTCCGCCGTAAATCTGGTATGATGATAGGTTGATCGTCATCATACAGGCCCAACTCTGCAACGGGAACAATCTCGGCTGAGAAAGTACTGCTGGACTTCGTTGATTTCCCCTTTGACGTGGATGTAGCCCTGGGGGTTCGGAGTCTGCGTTGTGACGACGTGGAAGCCCTCCTAGTCTTTGGCTGCGACGACGGGATGTCCGGGGATGCAGGTCGCTTCTTGGAGATAGCGGACTGCGTCCCACGCCTCTCCTCCGAGGGTAACTCTAGCGGAACACCAGACGGGAGGGGGTCGTCCGACAGCAGTTGACAGGGTGAGGGCTCTGGTGTATTAGCCATGGCTAAAATCTGTTTACGTGACCTATCTGCTGCGCGTCTCAAGGTGCAAAATAAATATTTATCAAAGGCAGAATTGGATAAATTAGTACAATAATTGCAACGTGAAACAGTAGAGCATGGCATAGTACAACTAGGGCATATTAAATGCGGGTCATCAGACGACCCGGATTCAGATCCCACCATAGTCATTGTTACTTTGGGAGACGCTGATTTCGTAGACTGAACCAGTTCGTAGACGCGGTGGATTCATAGCCCAGACTGGTTCGTAGACGGTGATTTCGTAGACGTGTATTAATAATTGAATAATAGTATATATTAAGTTTGATTATGCTTTGTTTTCAGTGATACGAAACTAAGGGAAGCTAAGGACATGATGCTGAATGATTTCTTCTTACGTTCTTGATGTTTATATACCATAAGTGTTTGTACAGGTAAGCTTTGTCGGCGGATCAGACAAAATTAGTCTACCCATCATAATTTCCCGACTGTTTTCATTGTTGTGGGTGGATTAACAGGTTTCACTGAGTTGTTGTGAATGTGGATTAACAGGTTTCACTGAGTTGTTGTGAATGTTAATTAGGAAGTGGTGAGTTGTTTTGATTGCAAAATACTGTGTGTAGGAGATGTGTTTTCTTAAGAAGTGTTTTCTGCTACTTCTCTGCTGGTCTGCGTAGTTGAAAGTTGAATGACGATACTTACCTAATACATATCTTTTAATTTTACACAACTGAATTTAATATGTGGACTGCTGTGAAGCATATTTTATTATTTTAAGCATATTTTCATCGGCGATCAAGCTTACCTGATATATTTCATTTATTTCACAAAATGCAAACACTTTTTGGATACATTAAAGTCATAATATCGATTTTAATCATCATTGAGGTTGAACTTTTCCCATTTTACTAACGTCTACGAATTCACCGCTCAATCCGCCTACGAATCCACCGGATTTCCACGTCTACGAACCAGTCTGGTCTACGAATTCACCTACAGCTGTTACTTTCACACTTAGTTAGACACTTACTTAAGATTCTTAGTTAGATAGTTCATTTGAATGCTTGCACCACTAACATTAGATGTATGAAAGTAGTATGTTACATCCACAGGAAGCTGCAGGTGACGAGACGGGAATAGCCAAGTCGAAGGAAGAAAAACAGAGACAAAGTAGAAATACAACGGCTTTTATTTTTAATCCCCGCCTATCCTATCCTCCCCTCCCCTACTTTTTTTCCCCTCTCCTACCCACCAAACTTCTAAACCCCCATTAAACGCTTCAACCCCACAAAAATTATATCAGCGCCCCTTTTTGGAATATAACCGGGATATTTATTCCCCGGAACGGCAATTCTTACTGAAAAAAAGGGGGGTACGGGCGGAACTCTTTCCGTAAACAGTGTACAGTTGGCTTTTGTATGCTCGAAATTATTGGTGACAGACACACGGAAGTTATGCCTTTTGGATTTCCAAATGAATACTTTTGCAACACATTTCATTTATAATAATGTTCGTATTTCGCGCCAAAAACGTAAAGCACTGACCTGCACTCGGTAAGATTTGTCCTTCATTGACGCTTGAACATGGCCTTCTATGTGTCTAACTTCTGGGTCATATAAAAACCGATCGCAACCAGATCGACTTGCGAATCTTTTTACCTGTCTGAAGTGTTCACCTAGACTTGCGAACAGTCAATTTTGGCCTGTCTGATTCAGTGGCCGATTCACCTCGTATTTTCTTGAGATTTTTTAAATATATTTCCTGTGGGTTTTTGACTGAAAAGTCGATATCGATGTACTCCCAGATAATTTCCCTATACATACACGTAACTGTCATATTTTGGTGATCATACATTTAGATATTAATGGGCCTGAAACCCGTTGAGTTCTTGTTTCAACGATAGCGAGCTGACATGTTGACATGTTGTGCGCATGCGCCAAATTTCTATAGTCCGTATCGGAGGACGTTCTTCATTAGCGGTAGGCAATACTCTCTCTCGCCTCCCGTTTCGCGCGCTCGTGATTTGGGTGAATCACACTTAATGTATATTATATTTATCTGCTTTTTGTCATAATTTACAGATTTTCCTTGCAGAGAGGATTCCATTCATATCTCTACAAAAAGATATGTCCATGGGATCCAGCAGATTTATTAATGTACAACGTAGTGCACAGAAGACTTAACCCCCTGGAAGCAGAGGTTTATTTTCTCTGAAGTTCTGAAAAATGAACGTTGAGCGAGAATTGCGTTAGTGATGCACTGCTTCTAGCTACGGCTATAACACAGATATGTAGAGTATTAAATTTCCTATCCGATGATGTAAATTTGAAGCACAAATACACAGGCGATTTGGAAAGTAGACTTTGTTAAAGGTTGTCCGCAATTTTATTATGCGTTGAAAAGCAGTAAATGTCTCCGTTTACAACGTGATGATTTCTTTATTTGGAATCTTTAATGAAACTTTGTGCGAATAAAATACTTCGTGATATCTGAACGACATAACAATATATGAAATTGATTTGTATGCTTATGTATAACTTTCTACGTTCAATGTGAAAAATGGCTTATTGACGAAAGTTGATTTTCCTCTGACGTCAAGCGACAACAGAGAGGACACACGCACGCACGTACGAAAGCGCACGCACACGCACACACACACACACAAACATATACACCATGAGCCAATCTGTTTCAATACAAAAATCCACATTGTAACCGGATACGTTTTGGTAGTATCACAAATTATAATGAATTAGGAAATCGCTCATGAGAAAGGAGGTAATAGCTAAATGGATGGTGCTATCTACCTAGAAATTAGTTCTTAGATTCCCAAACTCTATTGATTTTGGAGATGTATTTTGACTAACGTTTCATCATTATTAACAGAGATCGAGCTTTATTTTCAAATGTAATGAAATTACTGAAAATACGACACCACATTAGTTGCATGTTGTACATATTTGGCAACCCCGGAGAAAGATAACATCTGTATGTTGTTTAGTATATATCTCACCTAATTTCCGTTCCAGGTAATCTGATGGAGATGAAGTGAGTGTGTATTATTTTACGCCACTTTTAGCAATATTCCAGCAATATCACGGCGAGGGACACCAGAAATGGAGGGAGTGATAAATGAATTGTTTTAGTCACGATATGGCTAAAATATTGCCGGTGTGACTATAATCTCAACTCACTCGCTCACCATTTGAATAATGTCCTGGATAGATAAACAATTGGATAGTTTACCATGTATCTTACTGTGTACAACGCGAGCACCTATTTCGCGAAAATCAAATGTAATATTTATGCTCGAATATTATGCCCGGATCTGGCTTCTGATTGTTCATTATCATGGCTATTTTCTTCATAATTATACGAAGAAAGGTGAACTTAAAAATACCCTTTTGGTACGGAACTGTCAGAGGGATGCTTGCGATTGGTCAAAAGGAGGACATGTCATGGTTTTTTACGTCTTTTTGGTACAGTTCTTGCAGAAATAAAGTGAACAGTTTAATATCATGTCATGGGATTATTGGCAATATATATATATAGTGATTACGTCGTGTATATTATAAGCAAGAGTCATCAGAATATGACATATCCCCAGCACCCACATATTTGAAAGAACAAATCATCTGACAGTTACTTAAAGTCCAGCTTTATTTTTTTTAAGACTAAGTCCAAATCGTTTCCTTGGAAATCATGAGTAACATAAATGGCAAAAATCTGTAAATGGCAAAAGGCACCATTTCAAAATTTGCCTAATATATCTGCCAAGTTCTTTTGAAAGATACTGAATGCTTTTCAAGTTGTGCTCCGGAAATGAAGATCACCCCTTCCTTTTGGGACTAAGTACGAATCGTTTCCATTGAAACCGAGAAAATAATAAATCACGAAAATCTGCAAATAGCAAAAGGCACCACTTAAGGTACTGTTTCATATATATCTACCAGGTTTTGGTGCAAAATATTGAACGGTTCTTGAGTATTGCTCCGAAACGAAGCCCACCCCTCCCTTTTGGGACTAAGTCCGAATCGTTTCCATGGAAACCGGGAAAAATATGTCAAACATCTGCCAAATAGCAAAAGGCACCACTTTGGCATCTGCCTCACATATCTGCCAAGTTTTGCTGAAAGATATTAAGAAGTTTTCCAGTTGTGCACCGGAAACGAAACCCGACCCTCCCTTTTGAGACTAAGTCCGAATCGTTTCCATGGAAACCGAAAAAAATATTAATGACAAAAATCTGTAAATGGCAAAAGGCACCACTTCAAGATCTGTCTCATATATCTGCCAAGTTTTGCTGAGAGATATTGAGAAGTTTTCGAGCTGTGCGCCGGAAACGAATTGTTTCCATGGAAACCGGGAAAAATAAAACGCCAAAATTCTGCAAATAGCAAAAGGCACCACTTAACGTACACCTAGTGAATCATTAAACGCCTTTGTCAATAAATAGATATAATACAAATTTCATAACCAGGATAATTCCTAATAAATATGTGTGTATATACATCTAAAAATATATTAATAACTTTCCTAAAGTGAAACATTCAGTTGTACTAATATATCCTCTAAAGTATTTTTCTTTGAGAACATACAGATCTTATCAAATCTATAAAAAATCTATGGAAAGAATCTCAGATTCTGTACCATTGGATAGCATATTGGAAGAACCATTCGATCCATGTAACCTCAGAACTTTATACATGGAGGAAAAGTATGCAGATTATTCTATGCTGCAGTGTAAAGGATATTGCCTTAAAGGAAAAACATAGTCAATAACAATGGCAAAATGATATTTATACAGAAATATCGAAATATAATTGGATGGAAAACTATTTACCGTTAAGAACAACGTATAAGACAAAGTTAAGATAATTCCAACACCATACTGTTCATAGAATGCTGAAACAGATAAAAACATTTTCCAATATAAAATTGTAGCATATTCTCTGTATTCTTTCTGCAATGCTGAAACTGAAAATGTCATTCATTTGTTATTTGAATGTACACAGGTAAAACTATTGAGCCACAACCTTATAAAATAGATGAAAATAAATCCGGTACTAAACTAAATGTAGAATAGAATCACCTCATTTTTGGATTTAAAGAAAAATGTAATGACGTCTGAATTTGATATACCTTGCAACAAACATTACGTCTACACAAAAAATTATCTCCATAATACTACCGAGCTAAAACACACCTGAAATCTATATCATTCAGAAAAATATATCTCATACACAGTCTGTGAATACGACAAATTTGTGACCTTGTTTTACATAACCATACTATATTGTACAGCTATGTCTACCCCGCATGTTTAACAATAATTTACAATAGATTAACTTCAAACATTCATATTGTCCAGCGAAATGTAATTTATGACTGTAATAACTAATAACATTCTAATCTTAAACTCAAGTCTGCTTGGATCTTTTTTAACAACACAGAAACGAAAATTTGGAGAATACTTGAAATTCTCGGCCAGGCGTTGAACGGGAAAAATCGTGGTCCCGGAGAGTGAAAGTGACAAGATCGTGCCCCCTTAAGTGTCCTGTGCACTACGTTGTACATAAATAAATCTGCTGGATCCCATGGACATATCTTTTTGTAGAGATATGAATGGAATCCTCTCTGCAAGGAAAATCTGTAAATTATGACAAAAAGCAGATAAATATAATATACATTAAGTGTGATTCACCCAAATCACGAGCGCGCGCCGAAACGGGAGGCGAGAGAGAGTATTGCCTACCGCTAATGAAGAACGTCCTCCGATACGGACTATAGAAATTTGGCGCATGCGCACAACATATCAACATGTCAGCTCGCTATCGTTGAAACAAGAACTCAACGGGTTTCAGGCCCATTAATATCTAAATGTATGATCACCAAAATATGACAGTTACGTGTATGTATAGGGAAATTATCTGGGAGTACATCGATATCGACTTTTCAGTCAAAAACCCACAGGAAATATATTTAAAAAATCTCAAGAAAATACGAGGGGTAATCGGCCACTTGAATCTGAATAGGATTTATGAAGGTGGTGTTCTCGGCCGTGATGCAGGGTCATGTCTTGACTGTATAGGACCGCATCGCGGCTCTCGGCTATAATTCACCGTACGCGAGACGGTCCCCCGTTACGCGTACAAGTGACTACCTGAGAGGGGGTCACGCATTCGCGTGACTGCCTGATCACGGATGCAGGGAAGTTCTGCATGTCACACAAAGGCGCGTCTAAAACTGTTATTTATGAAAATAATGAAACAAAATTTGCTACAGTCATTAATAGGTGTTCAAGTTATTGATTGACATGAATGAAAACGTGTAAAGAAAACATTAGATAGTCAAATTTTGAAAAAAATGTGCAAAATTTAAGCAAAATTTGACAATATTGAACAGCGAATTTCACCTATGTGAATTTTTTTTTCACAAACTTACATTTAGTATTTTCTGAAAGCTCATTCATCGCAGATTCAAAATATATATGCAGCTTTCGAGGCACACCCGTTTGTTATTGTGTTGAAACATGTTTACTTTCTTAAAAACTGCGCGAACCGTCTCGCGTAGAAGTGACTGGGGAAGCGAGTCATTAAGGGGAGGTAACTGATGCCTGACCAA